CCCTCTCCTCCTCGCCTCCGCCTCACCTCTCCCCCCACCTCTCCTCCTCCCCTCTCCTCCCGCCATTCCTCTCGCCTCACCTCTCCTCCCCACCTCTCCTCCTCCCCTCTCCTCTCGCCTCCGCCTCACCTCTCCTCCCCACCTCTCCTCCTCCCCTCTCCCTCCCACTCGCCTCTCCGCCTCACCCTCTCCTCCCCCCCTCTCCTCCCTCCCCCTCTCCTCCTCCGCCACTCCGCCTCACCTCTCCTCCCCACCTCTCCTCCCCCCTCTCCTCCTCGCTCTCACTCCGTCCTCACCCTCTCCCCCCTCTCCTCCTCCCCTACTCCCTCCCTCGCTCGCTCCGCCTCACCTCTCCTCCCCACCTCTCCTCCTCCTCCCTCTCCTCCTCGTCCTCTCCGCCTCACCTCTCCCTCCCCCCACTCTTCTCCCTCCCTCCCCCTCTCCTCCTTCGCCCCTCTCTCCGCCTCACCTCTCCTCCCCACCTCTCCTCCTCCACCTCTCACCCTCCTCCCCCCTCTCCCCTAACTCGCCTCTCCTCTCCTCCCCACCTCTCCTCCTCCCCTCTCCTCCTCGCACTCTCCGCCTCACCTCCCCTCCCACCTCTCCTCCTCCCCTCTCCTCCTCGCCACTCCGGCCTCACCTCTCCTCACCACCCTCTCCCTCCCCCTCTCCCCTCCCTCGCCTCTCCGCCTCACCCTCTCCTTCCCCACCTCTCCTCCTCACCTCTCCTCCTCGCCTCTCCGCCTCACCTCTCCTCACCACCTCTCTCCTCCCCTCTCTCCTCGCCTCTCCGCCTCCACCTCTCCTCCCCACCTCTCCTCCTCCCCTCTCCTCCTCCCTCGCCTCACTCCCCCCACCTCTCCTCCCCCTCCTCCCGCCCTCCGCCTCACCTCTCCTCCCACCTCTCCTCCTCCCCTCTCCTCCTCGCCTCTCCGCCTCACCTCTCCTCCCCACCTCTCCTCCTCACCCTCTCCTCCTCGCCTCTCCGCCTCACCTCTCCTCCCCACCTCTCCTCCTCCCCTCTCCTCCTCGCCTCTCCGCCTCACCTCTCCTCCCCACCTCTCCTCCTCCCCCTCTCCTCCTCGCCTCTCCGCCTCACCTCTCCTCCCCACCTCTCCTCCTCCCCTCTCCTCCTCGCCACTCCGCCTCACCTCTCCTCCCACCTCTCCTCCTCCCCTCTCCTCCTCGCCTCTCCGCCTCACCTCTCCTCCCCCACCTCTCCCTCCTCCCCCTCTCCTCCTTGCCACTCCGCCTCACCTCTCCTCACCACCTCTCCTCCTCCCCTCTCCTCCTCGCCTCTCCGCCTCACCTCTCCTCCCCACCTCCCCTCCTCCCCTCTCCTCCTCGCCACTCCCGCCTCACCTCTCCTCCCCACCTCTCCTCCTCCCCTCTCCTCCTCGCCTCTCCGCCTCACCTCTCCTCCCCACCTCTCCTCCTCCCCTCTCCTCCTCGCCACTCCGCCTCACCTCTTCTCCCCACCTCTCCTCCTCCCCTCTCCTCCTCGCCACTCCGCCTCACCTCTCCTCCCCACCTCTCCTCCTCCCCTCTCCTCCTCGCCTCTCCGCCTCACCTCTCCTCCCCACCTCTCCTCCTCCCCTCTCCTCCTCCTCTCCGCCTCACCTCCTCCCACCTCTCCTCCTCACCTCTCCTCCTCCCCTCTCCTCCTCGCCTCTCCTCTCCTCCCGACCTCTCCTCCTCCCCTCTCCTCCTCGCCTCTCCGCCTCACCTCTCCTCCCCACCTCTCCTCCTCCCCTCTCCTCCTCGCCTCTCCGCCTCACCTCTCCTCCTCACCTCTCCTCCTCCCCTCTCCTCCTCGCCTCTCCGCCTCACCTCTCCTCCCCACCTCTCCTCCTCCCCTCTCCTCCTCGCCACTCCGCCTCACCTCTCCTCCACCACCTCTCCTCCTCCCCTCTCCTCCTCGCCTCTCCGCCTCACCTCTCCTCCCCACCTCTCCTCCTCACCTCTCCTCCTCGCCTCTCCGCCTCACCTCTCCTCCCCACCTCTCCTCCTCCCCTCTCCTCCTCGCCTCTCCGCCTCACCTCTCCTCCCCACCTCTCCTCCTCCCCTCTCCTCCTCGCCTCTTCGCCTCATCTCTCCTCCCCACCCCTCTCCTCCTCCCTCTCCTCCTCGCCACTCCGCCTCACCTCTCCTCACCACCTCTCCTCCTCCCCTCTCCTCCTCGCCTCTCCGCCTCACCTCTCCTCCCCACCTCTCCTCCTCCCCTCTCCTCCTTGCCACTCCGCCTCACCTCTCCTCACCACCTCTCCTCCTCCCCTCTCCTCCTCGCCTCTCCGCCTCACCTCTCCTCCCCACCTCCCCTCCTCCCCTCTCCTCCTCGCCACTCCGCCTCACCTCTCCTCCCCACCTCTCCTCCTCCCCTCTCCTCCTCGCCCTCTCCGCCTCACCTCTCCTCCCCACCTCTCCTCCTCCCCTCTCCTCCTCGCCACTCCGCCTCACCTCTCCTCCCCACCTCTCCTCCTCCCCTCTCCTCCTCGCCACTCCGCCTCACCTCTCCTCCCCACCTCTCCTCCTCCCCTATCCTCCTCGCCTCTCCGCCTCACCTCTCCTCCCCACCTCTCCTCCTCCCCTCCCCTCCTCGCCTCTCCGCCTCACCTCTCCTCCCCACCTCTCCTCCTCCCCTCTCCTCCTCGCCTCTCCGCCTCACCTCTCCTCCCCACCTCTCCTCCTCCCCTATCCTCCTCCCCTCTCCGCCTCACCTCTCCTCCCCACCTCCCCTCCTCCCTCTCCTCCTCGCCACTCCGCCTCACCTCTCCTCCCCACCTCTCCTCCTCCCCTATCCTCCTCGCCTCTCCGCCTCACCTCTCCTCCCCACCTCTCCTCCTCCCCTATCCTCCTCGCCACTCCGCCTCACCTCTCCTCCCCACCTCTCCTCCTCACCTCTCCTCCTCCCCTCTCCTCCTCGCCTCTCCTCTCCTCCCCACCTCTCCTCCTCCCCTCTCCTCCTCGCCTCTCCGCCTCACCTCTCCTCCCCACCTCTCCTCCTCCCCTCTCCTCCTCGCCTCTCCGCCTCACCTCTCCTCCCCACCTCTCCTCCTCCCCTCTCCTCCTCGCCTCTCCGCCTCACCTCCCGCCGCACACCCTCCCTCCGTCGCGTCCCCTCTCCTCGTCGCGTCCCCCCTCCTCACGGCGTCCCCTCTCCTCGTCGCGTCCCCCCTCCTCACGGCGTCCCCTCTCCTCGTCGCGTCCGCCCTCCTCACCGCGTCCCCTCTCCTCGTCGCTTCCCCCCTCCGCACCGCGTCCCCTCTCCTCGTCGTGTCCGCCCTCCTCACCGCGTCCCCTCTCCTCGTCGCTTCCCCCCTCCGCACCGCGTCCCCTCTCCTCGTCGCGTCCCCCCTCCTCACCGCGTCCCCTCTCCTCGCCGCGTCCCCCCTCTCCCCGTCGCGTCCCCTTCCCCCCTCGCATCTCCTTCACGCGGTCTGTCAGCGTTACTCTCCACGCCCTCCTCTCCGCGGCGCACCTCCTTCCCACCTCCCATTTCCTATCCGCCCTCGCTTCAAATTTCCCTAATACATTCCTGTCCGCCCTGGCGTCACCTTTCCGCCTCTCCTCTCCTCTCCGCCCTCGCTTCTTTCTTTTCGCAGCGCATTTCCTATTCGCCCTCGCGCTTTTCTTCCGCCTGGCATTTCTTTTTCGCCCTCGCGCCAACTTTCCGTATCGCCTTTCCTATCCAACGTCGCCTTTCCTATCTACCCGCGCGCCACATTACCGTCTCGCGGCGCCATCCTTTGGCGCGCTTACTCTCCTATCCTAACGTTAAACCTTATGATGTACTTGGCGTTTCGATCTTGAGTCGACTCTAGTCCCTTCAGTCTCTATTCTGTTGCTCTTGTCACGCGAAAGCCCCGTACTCGATGGTTTGCTTGGTCCCATATTTCCAGATCAAGTTGGCCCATGCATTGAGTTGCTGTTGCTGTTGGGCTTTCTGGGGCCAGCTCCGAGGGGATTGCCCTTGACTGAGGAATTCGTCTCTCTCGCTTGCGAAAACCCCGCAGGTTCGGCTTGGGCTCATTTTGTGTTCAAGGGGGTGTGGATTCAGTTACCAGCCCGAACCTACATCAAACTGCCCCCAGTTTGATGCAGGTTCGGGTCTGACTTTTCTAATCTGGGACCTGGGCTTTAATTTTCAGGGCGGTCAAAATTTTAACACTTAAAACCAGACTACAATAGCACAGGGGGAGCTTCAAGAGCGCCGCTCTTGAAGATGGGCACTCTAGAAAGCTTGGAAACAAAATGGGTTGCTATGGGCAACACTTTCGGGGCAACCCGTGAAGCTGAAAAAACAATTCGCCGTATAAACGGGGCCTGCAACAGGCGACGAACACCAAGGACGACGAAGAACCGCAGGGTCGGCCTAAGTATACGACGGAAACAGCGATGGGGACAGAGCGCATTCAGAACACCAATACACATGAAGCACACACCATGAACAAAATCCAAGGTTCTGAAGACACCGGGCGAAACTGTGCGTATTGTACAGAATCCGACAGCGACACCGTGGGACTGGATTACTCCCTCACCCGGGACTGAGGTAGGGGAAGAGAAGTGACGGGCACGGGTCGGTGAAATCCCAGTGGAGAAGGGTGTGCGGAAGCTACAAGTTTCCAAGCTAGGCGTGCACGCCATGGTGTGACCTCGGCAGAAATACGGGCACGACGATGGCATAACAGGGTGCAGGGTCTGGAGCGCGACTGTTCCCGCACCACCCACACTCACAATGCATAGAAAACAAAAATTGCAGACATCAACCTCTAACGCGTGTTAGAGAGGCACAAAGGGCGAAACGGCATAGCAATTATGCGCATTGGAGTGGCGGACGGGAATCAGAGTGCCTTTGGCGGCCAGCCCGGTGCAACGACCGAGACCCGCTGCGAGGGTGGAGATCAGCGGAGACGGGAGGTCAACCGTGAATGGCGGGGCAAAGCACCGACGCCATGGACGAGCCACGCGCACCCATGTGAGAACATTCGCTCCCCTCCCGCTGCCCCTCTCTCGTTACCTCTTTCCCATCGCGGAAGAGGCCCTACCGTAGTGCCTCTAACCCACCATATTTCCCGTCGCGCCTCCTCCTCATCGCCTCCCCTCCCGTAGTGCCACTCTCCTTTCTTCTCCCCCGTCGCGTCCCCCCCTGTCCGCTCCCCTCCCGTAGTGCCTCTCTCCCTCCCTCGTCCCCGGCACGTCCCCCCCTGTCCGCTCCCCTCCCGTAGTGCCTCACTCCCTCCCAATCCCCCTGCGCGTCCCCCCTGTCCATTCCCCTCCCGTAGTGCCTCTCTCCTTCGTTCTCCCCCGTCGTGTCCCCCCCTGTCTGCACCCCTCCCGTAGTGCCTCGCTCCTTCCCTCTTCCCCGGCGCGTCTCACCCTGTCTGCTCCCCTCCCGTAGTGCCTCACTCCCTCCCAAACCCCCTGCGCGTCCCCCCCGTCCGCTCCCCTCCCGTAGTCAAGGTTAAAAAATACGGTTTCTGAAAAATACTGGTTGAACTTTACGACTGTTTTTTTCGGGCTTTTTGCAAAAAAAACGAAGTTTTTTTTTATATATTTTTCTCTGAGAAAAAAAACTCCAAAAAACGGCCTTGCCATCAGCAATAACGACCCAACTACAGGCATGCCCATGAATCCTCCGCTTTGGGCTCCTCCTACTATCTAGTACTTACTACTACTAGTCCTAATTCCTACTCCTACGAGGCCTGTAACCTCTCCTACTACTACTTCTACTACTAATACTACTACTTCTACTACTAATACTACTACTTCTACTACTATGCCTACCCCTCCTCCTCCTCCTCCTACTCCTCCTACTCCTCCTCCTCTTCCTCCTCCCAACTCCTCCTACTTCTACTCCTCGTCCTCGTCCTCGTTGTCGTCGTTGTCCTCCTCCTCCTCCTTGCTCCCATCCTCCTCCTCCTCCTCCTCCTCCTCCTCCTCCTCCTCCTCCTCCTCCTCCTCCTCCTCCTCCTCCTCCTCCTCCTCCTCGTCCCTCTCGTCCTCCTCCTCCGCCTCCCCTCCACACCCACTCCCCCTGAAATCCCAAGGGTCAGCCCCATTGGCCTTCTTGGTGCCTTCCTCTATCCCGCTGCTCTCACCATCCTCCTCCTCCTCCTCCTCCTCCTCCTCCCTCCTCCTCCTCCTCCTCCTCCTCCTCCTCCTCCTCCTCCTCCTCCTCCTCCTCCTCCTCCTCCTCCTCCTCCTCCTCCTCCTCCTCGTATAGGGCACGCTTAGTCTTGGCCTTCCTTGCCCTGCCAGAGGTTTTCCCCCGCTTAGAGGGCTTTGCTCCCTCCGTCTTCTTCCTCCTCTTTTCCCCACTAGATCCAAATGTTGCCCAATCAATGGCATAAGCCCCCGCACCATCCTCACCCTCCTCCTCGCCCTCGGCCACCTCCTCGGGTTCCGCCTCTGAGGCGACAGGCTTGGCAGCCCCCTCCTTGAGCCTACCCTCTTGCAGATCGGCGTAGAGCTTCGCGCGCACGGCTGCCTTCTTGTCGAAGGCCGCCCGGGCTCGCCGAGAGAATGCCATGCATGTGACGTCTATGAGGTTCTGAGCCTTGAGCTGGTTCCAATCGCGCCGCTGGACCCTGCTCATGGCCGACCACCAACGCTCCACCTCGGAGGCGGTGATCGGCTGTGAAAGGACCTTCATGGCCAGCTCTTGCAGTAGCTTCGCCCACCACTCCGCCTACGAGAGGCGGCCACTCTCCACAAGGTGAGCCGCTGCCCATAGTGCATCACGGCCACCCACTTTCCCATTCCCGCTGTGAAAGTGGGCGAGCTGAGCCTCGAGGAGGGCTCGCCGCTGCACATCGATCTCCCGAGCTTCCAGCACGGCCGTCACTCCTTTAGTATCTCCCCGTCGTGCCATACCTCCTCCGAAAACTAGTTCTTTGGGTTGAGCAGCCACCCAAGAGCGTGGAGGGGATTGTGGAGCTGTTTGTCCCACCTCCACGCAATGATCTTCTTGATGGAGGTGAGGAAGGCTGCTTTCTCCTTAGAGCGAAGAAGCTTGGTCTTCTTGATGAAGAATGTGGCTGCAGCATATCAGCGGGAGGGTGTGTGGCCCGGGGTGAGGGGCTTGTTTAAGCATTTTCGAGGTGCTGGTCATATGTTAAGGCGGCAGCAGTAAAGACACTGAAATGAGGCAAGAAGAACGACCATAATGGGCAGCAATGGGGGCGAGTGAGGGCCCTTACCCCCTGCCTCAGCCGCCATGTATGTCTTGACGGTGGCGTCGAGCATTAGGCTGTAGATTCTGCCCATAAGCAGAGATCTGCGGTCCACTGCTCTCAGCACCTCGTACACAGGGTTCATGAGGTTGTACATGGCCTCCACGGAATCCTAGAATGTGTCGACGAGGAGGAGGACCCGAATCTGCCTCCCCTCGTCCGTCTTGGAGGCAGTCACGCCCTTCCACTCCTCCGAAATCACCATCCGCTGCATGTTCGCTTTCACCTCCAAAAACCTAGCCAGCATGATGGCTGGACGTGTCTCAAGAGCAGAGGCTTGGTGTGCCTCATCGCTCAAAATGACACGGCTCCAGTCATGGTGGAGGTTGTGGACTCCAAACAGCAAAGAAAACGGGAAAGTACTTGGCTGGTTTGATCCGGGGGGGAATCTATAAGGTGGGTGATGGATGTGTGGTTCAGGTTGTCATGGACAACGCATCCAACAATCGGAAGGCGGGTGAGGAGTTGGGAGATGGGTATCCTGCAATCTTTTTCACGAATTGCACTGCCCATTGTCTGGACTTAATGCTCCATGATATTGGAGCGCTAAGTGTCATCAAGCGGGTGTTGCACCAAGCACACCGCTGCGTGATGATCGTCAAGAAGAGCGCGAGCGGTGTCATTCTCTTTCGAGAAGTTTTCAGCAAGCTCGAGCTCATCCGCCCTGGGACCACCCGATTTGGCACGCAGAGCGTGCACCCCATTGTTCGCCAAGTCTTCTTTAGTGGCTCGACCAAGTCCTCCACATCAGCCCTCAGTTTTTCAAGCAGAGGGCCGCCAACCTTGTATGCCGAGGGAAGCGTGTACTGCCTCCCATAGGTGATGGCGGCGTTCACAAATTCCTGCAACGCCTTGGACCTGTGAGTAAGGGGGTATGGAGATGCGGGCATAAAAACAGCTAGGGGCCACTATGGCATTGATCTAAGGTAGTCGTAATAGGGCAGAAACGGGTGAGGGAAAGCGGGGGACGAGAAACTTACCGGGGGCACCAAAAAGCCCAGTCATTTTCAGCCACCGCCGTCGCCCAAAGGAGGTCTAGACGCTCGCGCTCGAGGGGGTCCGTCAAGTCCGGAATGTCGGTCTGACGAATGCGACGCGGGCGTTCCGCTTCTGGCGGCGATGTTGAAGCCAAAACCAAGGCAGAGGACTTGGAGCCATGCTCGCTGACGCCCTTCTCGCGGAGATTCCTTGCAAATTCAGAGGTACACTCCGCGACGTTTTTCAGCTTTGATGTCGGCGTACCGTAGAGGTGCTCGGTGATCCTCGCTGCGCTGGCCGTCAAGAACGATTTGCAATGAAGACACTCGGCGCGGAGGAGTTTTCCGTCAGGCCCATGAATCTTCCGCACGTGTTGCCAAACGGGAGAAATTTCTCTGCCCATAGTGGAAACTAATCCTGCAGCTGGTCGAAATGTTGTCGCGCTGTGTAAGGCAGCACGTTCGTCAAGAAAAACGCGGGCATGAAGCATCACTAGCGAGATTCGCGGTGCTTAGCGCGGAATTCTGATGTAATTCAAACTTCCTAGATGAATTCCTACATGTCTGTTGTTGATGCTCTGTATTTGTATCTCTAACAATCGAAGGTTGGGTTGAGGAACGTTTGGGAGGGACTCTGGGAAGGATACCCATTTCGCGTGTCGGAGGGGGTTGGTTTACGAAACGTGCCACTGACACCTGTGTTGCACAAAGCGCGAACTCATCCCACTGGGCACGAAGAAATTGAACAGGCTATGGCGAAACGGTCGTTCATTTCGCAACGGCCCAGCGAAATGAACAACAAGCACGGCTCCGGAATGGGTTGCGCGCGTGCTGCGGGAAAACATTGACTCTCGGCAGTTCTTGTGGGTTGTGTACACCCAACCTGTAAGGAATTTCCATTCCTTACTGAGTCGTACGCTGGTGCGTACACCCGAACTCCTCGACTCGTCACGTTCGGCCTCGTTGATCAGCCCAACCCTTTCCCGAGTCACGTCCGGCACTGTCGCCACATTGCCGAACCTAACCACGTTCCGAGAACGAGGCCGATAACGCCAACCCCTATATAACCGCGTGCCTTCATTGCAATAGCGACTTTGTATTCTCACGTTATAGTACATTGACACTTCCTATATCATAACAGCTGGTATCAGAGCCCGAGCTTTCCAGGAACCTTCCGTTTTCCCGTTTAATTAGTTAAGGGTGGCCAGAGGGGATTAGCACGGCTGCACAGCAGTTGTCTTGGATCGTAAATATTTTTACGTCAACAACTACAGCGTGTGTGCTAGCTTCTGCCCCGTCTTGACCGCCATGGCCTCGGTAGATTCGACGGTAGGAACAGACGACCTCGACTGCTGCGAACTCTGCCCGAAAACTGTGGACCTGCAAGCATTAATGGAGCAGTTGATTAATTTGACAAGCGACATCAACAACCTCCGCGACAAGAACCAACGACTTCGCCACGCGCAAGAAAGGCGTTCAGAGGAGCCAAGTGACGATGCACGAAGCGAGGCGGGTGAGCAGCAACCGTCGCCAGTGGAGCTGGCACGACTAGCGGCAACAGCCCCGCGCACGACAAGTGGCAGCGTGAGATATCAGCAGCCCGCTCCTTTCGACCCAGCTAATAAAGGCGTGACGGTGCGGTAGTGGATATTCGTCATGAATATCTATTTTAATGCAGCGGGCATCCGCGACGATCAGAAGCGGATCAGCCACGCGTTAATACTGTTTCAAGGGGCCACCCTACAGTGGTGGAAGGTCATCGTCGACTCAGCGGCAGCTCGCACAGAAGGACAGCACAAGTGGTACGAAGAATTCGGCGACGAAGATGAGGCAGTCTTGCTGTTTGGTGCGACCCACATTCACACATGGGCAACGTGGTGCACAGAGCTTCGCAAGCGGTTTGAGCATGCTCCTGACTCAGACAAAGCACGTGAAACTCTACGCATGTGGAAGCAGCTGGGATCTGTGTCCGAGTACACCGCGTCATTCTTGACGTTGGTGGACAGATGTGGCTACATGCACGTTGGAGAAGGTCGACAGGTACATGGGTGGTCTGAAGCCTGAAATACAGTACCAGATAAAACTGCAACGCCCTGCGAAGCGGTTACAAGACTTCATCCAGCTCGCCGAAGCCGCTGATTCGCTCACGAAGCCGAGGACAAACTTCTACGACGGAGGTCGCCCTCGAGAACAGTACCAGCGCGCCATGATAAAAGGGGTGGACACAGTGGATATTTACGCAGTTGCTCCGTGAAATACGGGGCTATGATACCACTGTGGCCGGCTGGGTCACATCCGACGCAACTGCCAAAAATTCATAGCCCTCCAGAATTCTATGGGGAAGAAGCCAGAGGAGCGACCGGGAAATGGGTCGCGTCAGTAAGTACCGTGCCCCATACTGACGGGCAGGCTTCTTCTACCATTCCTGCATGATGCCGCCCTGTTTCCTGCCCCCTTTAATGTTCCTTCCTTGGCTGGCAGGCTGTCTTCCGCACGATGCTCCATCCATAAGTTATGCAGCTATGAGTTAGGCAATGAATCGTAAATTATGCGCAAACCTGTCCCTATACGCAACAACCCAAGTTTACAACCTCAGACTAAGCTGTGTACAACCTATACGCACACGGGCCTGCTCTGCCTGCCTATCCTGGTGCTGCCGAAACTCACTAGTGGTGTTTTTCCACCTTCTCACGCTATCAGTGCAACGGTCTCCTGCCTTGTTCTAGTTGTGGTCTGCATTTCATCGCCACATACGCCATGAACCGCTCCCGTGGCACATGATTGTTTTGTGGTTGTTGCACATTGTCGGGTTGCCGCGCAGATTGCTGTTGTGATAAAATCGTACTTAAGCATTTCTGTAATTAGTTCCGATAGATATTGTCGAGTTACACTGTAGTTAGCATCCGTAGAATGATGTCAGCAAATAGCGCTCGTCTGGATGATTACGTCAGCAGGCCGTGTCAGTCACGAGAACAGTCGCGCTCTTTTTAGTAGCGATTAGAGCGCATAGCGCAAATAGTTTTGAACAGATACATTACCGAGCAGGTACTTCTAGCAGATATAAGAGTAGCTTGTATGGCTTCAATTATTAACTTGTTCTTGAGTAAATTCTGGTCAACACTTACAAGGTCTAAGACTTCCGCTATCTTACTAGTCTACCATTCCAGCAAAGATCCTTGCTAAAGTCTTGAAGTATCACAAGGCTGTAACACTGATTTTGGTGTTACAACTTGTTAATACTGGCTGTTACTGGAGGTACTTCCAGTATTACTTTCTACTTCAAGTACTTGTGTCTGCAGATTCTTTACTTAGTCTCCTGCACCACCTTTCAAATTTCTTTCATGGTATGAGAGCTGTCTGGAATTAAGACTATCGTCAATTATGACTGGATCATCATCGGCTCCAACATCTGGTTCTTCAACAACTGGACCTACGGGTATAACAAATCCTACAGTCTTCATAGGCCAAGCAGGTGACTCTGCAGCTGGAAAATTTCCACCTGCTTATTCTTCAATCGGGATGCCTCAACAGCAGCAAGTTTTGCCTACTGTGCATCCACCGGGACTTCATCCTCTGCACCTGCAACATCACAGCAACAAGCAGCAGCATCAATAATAGTGGGCTTCAGTTGTCTGAGTATTGTTGGTACCAACTATGCAAGAGGTGCAGCCGCTCCAAACTCCAGTTCTTCGTTCGCGTTTACACCTACTCAACAACAACAGTTTCAATTTCTGCAACAACAGCATCAAGCACAACAATAGTTTCAGCAACAACACTAACATCCACGGTAGCAACAGCAACATCCAGAGCAACAATAGAAAGTGCAACAGCAACAGCAACAACAGTTTCCGCAGCAGCAAATTTCTTTTGGACCTGTCTTTCAGGCTCCAAATCTTTTAAGCAATACGCAGATCAAGACAACAATACCTTTTAATGGTGTTGACTTCTACTCCTGGAGTTTTGGGTTCGAGCTCCTCACAAAATCCGCTGGTTTATGGCCGTTCTTCAGTGGCGATTATTCGTATCCTATCACGGGAACACAAATGGAGCAGCAAAGTTTTCTTCATGCTTCACTCAGCGCTTATACAGTACTTATCCGCAATCTGTCGCTGAAAGAACAGCTCGGTATACGCTCACTTGACACCAGCTTGACTCGAGCCGAATCTGCATGGAAGCATTTGAAGGGGAGTAAAATTATCTCACAACTGACAACTGTACAGATGCAGGGCAAGGAGAACGTTTCGGATTATATCAACAGGGCTAGCACCCTTTGCGATCAACTTGAAAAATGCGGCGGATACTTCCCGAAGGACATGTTTGTAACGGTTCTTCTTGCCGGCCTTGGAGCAGAATGGCGGCAGTGTCGATCTCTTCTTCGCATTCAATCGAATCTTTCCGTAGCCGAAATTTGTTCGATTCTTCAAGAAGAGTAGCAGGACCTTGACCTGCAAACAGCATGTAACAAAAAGGGAGCAGTTAATATCAGTTTCTATTCAACACCTGCAAAACATGTCAACAAGTTCTTCTATCACTACCGCAAAAAGGATGGACACGGCATCAAATATTGCAACAAGCTTCAAGCTGATAAGAAACGAGGAGCGCAGCAGCAGTTGCAGCAGTTCAAGCAACCCGTGAAGCAGGATCCACCAACAACAACTCCTGCCACATCCGGAAAACAAGTATTCAGTTGTGTTACAATAGTTCATGCAACAGATTCAGATTTCGACGATTAGGGGGAAGAAAGTTCCATCGAGCAACCTGAGAACATGATCTTACCTTAGGCCTAAGCTAATCTCACTTGGGTTATTGCAGGACCGAACACTTGGTATCTTGACAGTTGTTGTGGTCAACACATGTGCTCTGCCAAGACGCTCTTCATCATTCATCAGCATCCTCTTCGACGTCTAGTACCTATCACAGTTGCAAACGGACAAACGATCATGGCAAGATCTATCGGCAGCGTCATGCTGGATTCTGTTGACACTAGTTTTTCCTTACATGTTATGAACGTCCTTATCATCGCTGGACTTGGTTTTAATCTTTTTTCAACGGCTCAACTCCTGTGATATAAGATCAGGACACAAGGCAATTGTGAGACCATGGACCAAGAACTTTATCACAACGATACAAATACTTACATGGAGAGAGCTGCCACTCAGTATGGCGTCTCCGTTTTTCAATTTGAATCGCAAGGCACTTCTGGACATTCTGACAGAGTGTTATCTCTTGGGCTTTGGCAACATCCCGAAGAAATCAATTTTCAAAAGGTTGAAATAGACTTCCGTGCAACTGTAGTTCCGACGGGATCTCGTACAGCCGCTGCAGTTATAACGGCTCTTGATTCCTGGCCAACAAACACGGCTGAAGAAGATACATCAGCGTGGCGGAACTACTATGACACTTTAACACAACTTAACAACAAACCTGAAGTACCTTGGGGACCCACCACCAGCAGCAGTAAAGCAGAGGAAGCCGAGCAGTAGAGTAGCAGTGAAGCAGAAACAGGGGTTCTCATCGGTCAACCTGCAGCACACACAACAGAAACAGATATCGAAGAAGGAGAATTAGTACTATAACTAGAAGAAGTTCTCGACGTGGAAGTTAAAACCACTAAGTTAACTCTTACCCGCTTCATTCCTGGACAACTGGACGAATCACCAGCGCTTTCTTCTTTCATCGTTTCTTCATTTTATACTAACGTCGATTTTTATCTGTGATCAACAGGACACAAAGCAACAGAGGATATATGGCATCAACAGTTAGGTCATCCGTGTCCAGTCATTCTTAATTATACTATACGGGCTTCAGTTCTTGACAAGAAAAGCTTACTCTTACTGGATGGAACCGAGATGAAGCCGTCTTCACGACCGGCAGTCTGCACAACGTGCACAACTGCTAATCTTCATCGCAAACCTTTTCCAAGTCATTTTCCGGGATCCAGTCGTTACACCCTTATGTAGATAGTCTACAGCGACATCCTAAACTTACCTGAAGCAGGACCTAAGGGGGAGCTCTATATGATCTCCTTTATCGAGGCTTCTACTCAATATGTTTGGACGGCAAACATTCCAGCTCGTCATATGGCTCACTCTATCTTCGTCGCGTGGCTTGCGGTGGCTGAACGAGAATCGAAGGAAAAGCTACAAGAATTTCAGAGCGACGACGCAGGGGAGTATACGAACACCACTTTCGCTGAGTATCTTCAAACCCTAGGCATCAAGCGCCGAGGGTCTCTGCCACATCAACATCAACAGATGGGGGTAGCGAAGCAGATGAAGAAAACGTTACAAGAAAAGATGCGCGTCTTGCTGACTTAGGCATCATTACTACCACATTTTTTTACTTACGCTTTGGACCATGTAGTTCTTCTGCGCAACTTGCTGTCGACAACTTCTCTTCCGACGTTTTCTTTGCCACACTTGCAGTGGACCAAAACAGCGGGCAACACAAAAATTTTAAGAGTTTTTGGATGTATCGTCCAATACCGACCTCCGACTGCAGCACTCAGGAAATTTTCAGAACGGGCTAAGTGGGGCATTCATCTTGGCATCGAGAAGCAGTTTTACACGTGGAAAATTATGGATATTCGCACGAGTCACATCGTACAACCACGTGATTGTCTTTTCTACGAACGACTCACCTTACCTGTTTTTCGTGCTCACCATGCTGCAGCTGCCAATCCTGCCAGGCTGTTCGAAGGCTCGTGTGCCTTCGCTACCGACGAGGCCGAAGCAGATGTACAGGATGAATCCGTCGCTGAATCTTCAGAAACTGCCACAAACATCCCCGTGCCAACCACGTCAGTTGGAACTGCCGAGTTTATCCCACTCAGCGAAGCAGACTCTGAAGATGTCCGCGATGTTGTTCTTCATTACGAACGTGATCGTCAGCAGCAGCCAATGCCCGTTGTCTCCGAAGCAGCTATTCCTTTAACACCTGAAGAAGTTGGGGGGTAACAGGGGTCAGGACACAACTTCTCCGATGTCAACTCCAATCGTCCCCGTTCTACAGAAACTGGATTACGGGTATTGGGACCCGCACTCGCAGTACAGTCAAACAGCAGTAAGATTCTAGAGCCGAAAACAGTTCGCCAAGCCTTGACAAGTCAACACAGGGAAAAATAGCACGAAGCCATGGACCGAGAGTTAGCAGCTCTGGAAAAGAGAGGTACCTGGAATCTAATCCCGCGGAAGGAAACAAAGGGGAGTAAGGCTCTTACCGAAAAATGGGTTTTTCGCGTGAAGATGAACTCCGATGGTTCCTTCGAAAGAATCAAGGCGCGATGGGTCGTCCACGGCTTCGAGCAGACTTTTGGACTCGACTACGATTTAACTTTCGCTCCCGTCGGCAGACACACAAGCGTCCGCATCCTCCTTTGTATCGCGGCCTATCGGAACTTCATACTTCGCCAAATCGACGTCGCAATGCATTTCTACATATGCACTTGTCGACGCCTTAATTCTGGTTGAGTACCCGCATTCTTACGAAACTAACCCTCCCAGCGTATGCCGTCTCAGAAAGTCTCGCTACAGCATTAAACAGGCTCCACGACTATGGCAGTAGTATCTTCACCGTCAGTTACTAACTGCCGGGTTTCGTCAGCTTCCACACGACCAAGGAATGTACATACTTACTGACGGTCTTGACTACATTCTACTCGTCGCTTCTGTCAACGACTTACTTTACATCAGCACCACCGATTCTCTCTCTACTGTCTTCGAACAGAAACTTCAACAAAATCTACATATCACTATCACCCCTACAGTCGCATCGTTTCTCGGCCTTAACATCCACCGAACAGCAATTGCTATTCATCTTACAGCTTCCAAATATGCAGCCACACTAGCCGCATGCAATAACCTCACACCTTCAACTGTAACCACTCCTTACCGATCTCTACCGACGGACTACAATCCGGATACTAATCCACTCAATAACACTGCACTACGGCGTTATCAGCAGCAGCTGGGTTGTCTTCTATTCGCAGCTGTAACGTGTCGTCCGGATCTCGCCTATGCTGCTAGCCGGATCTCGTCGACCTGAGGGGGAGAATCGGCTAGATCTTCTTCGTGCTCTACAGTATTTCGTTTCGACACCTGAAGTTGGACTTACCTATCAAGTCACAACTACAAAAATCTATATCTTAACGGGTACATCGATACTTCTAATTGTCGATCTCGCACCGGCTTTATCTACTGTCTTGAACCTATGAGCACTATCTCGTGGAATTCTACAAAACAAGAGCTCGTAGCTCTATCATCTGCTGAAGCTGAGTTCATAGCTGCTTGCACAGCTACTCGCGAGGGTCTTTATCTACAAGAGCTACTGGAGGAAGCGAAATTGACGACAAGTACACAGTTCAATTTGCAGTGCGACAACCAAAGTGCAATCAGAATTGCGCATCAACCCGGTTTTGCCAACAGGACGAAACACATATTGCTACGATATTTCTTCGTCAAAGATGAAGTCGAGAAGGGGAGAATGCGGTTGGTCTACTGCTCGACCAATAAAATGGCTGCAGATTTCCTCACCAAGAAGCTGACACGTCAGAAGTTCCAGTATTGCAACGAACTCTACGGAATTATCGAGAAGTGACACTATCGGACTTCCAGAAATGAAGGGGGGTGTTGTGATAAAATCGTACTTAAGCATTTCTGCAAGTAGTTTCGATAGATATTGTCGAGTTACACTGTAGTTAGCATCCATAGAATGACGTCAGCAAATAGCGCTCGTCTGGATGATTACGTCAGCAGGGCGTGTTAGTCACGCGAACAGCCGCGCTCTTTTCAGTAGCGATTAGAGCGCACAGCGCAAATAGTTTTGAACAGGTACATTACCAAACCGGTACTTCTAGCAGATATAAGAGTAGCTTGTATGACTTCAATTATTAACTTGTTCTTGAGTAAATTCTGGTCAACACTTACAAGGTCTAAGACTTCCGCTATCTTACTAGTCTACCATTCCAGCAAAGATCCTTGCTAAAGTCTTGAAGTATCACAAGGCTGTAACATTGCTTTTGGTGTTACAACTTGTTACTACGGTACTGGCTGTTACTGGAGGTACTTCCAGTATTACTTTCTACTTCAAGTACTTGTGTCTGCAGATTCTATACGTAGTCTCCTGCACCACCTTTCAATTTTCTTTCAGCTGTAACCTTTGTTACATGTATGCGTTGCTCAGATTTCGCTGGTACAAAGAACAATCACACATAAACCCATCTACGGCACTGACATCTGTCCCCCAGCAGCACCAACTCTTCTGTGGTTTGGCCACACACCTTGCTGACCACTAGCCATGTAAAAGAGCCACTACCCCCACCGGCATACAGGCCATTGTACAGGTCTTTGTGCTCGCACACCCCACTCCCCTCTCCACCAGTTCCCAGTTATCTCCTGTAGTGCCTCCTTGTCGGTCTCCAATTTAGGGGGCAGCACCCACTCCGATGCCTGCCGCTGGTTTCATCCCCCCTTTCCATGCACCGTCCGTCGGCACTGGCGGCTGAAGTTGGGCAAGCCACCCCCTTGCATGACGCTGGTGTGCAATGGCATCGAGCCGCTCCTGCTGCCCAGCACTTCATGCCTGGGGCATCCCCACTAAGCGCGTTATTTTCCCTTGCCACGCTTCATAAAGCGTCTCAGATTCTTCGACCACTTCATGGGCAGGGGTTGGAGCATGGGTGCACGTGGCAAGCCTGCGCATGGCGTAGCAGAGTGCAACCCCCACCACGCTGGGGTCAGCCATTGCTGTTTCGCGGCACACCCACTCTGGCACCCTGCTGGAAATAGAAGGGGGGATTGGGAGGGCCTGAGAGGGTTTTGAGGTGTGACTGCGGGTTCAGGGGAGAGTGCGTGTGGTGTTGGATCAGCATGCTGGGGGGAGGTGGAACCCCCGGGGTCAGATGTGGAATCGTGCAGAGTGGGGGCGGGGAGCGTGTTAGTTGGACTTGCAGCTGGGAGGTGGTTTGAAGGGGATAGTGATTGGAAGATTTCGATATGGGTAGACGGGGGAAGGGGGGTTCCCTCTTTCCCACGTGAGGGGAGTAGGAGGGGGATAGGAAGGTTGTGTGGGGGTGATAAGGCGGGGTAGTTAATAGTGTGAAAGGCAGTTTGGGGCACCCAGTCATTCTGGTTTCGGGCACCATAGCCTACTAAGCCAGTAGTCCCGTCTCCCTGCCCTCTCTCTATGCACTCTCCTCCCTCTCTCCTCGCCTTCGGCTCCAAACCTTCTCACTCTCTGACATGGGAACCTGACTCGGGAGTCTGACTTGGGAATCTGGCCTGGGATTCTGACATGGCCCTCTGACCTGGGAATCTGACATGGGAATCTGACATGGGAATCTGACCTGGGGATCTGAGTTGGAGATCTGCCTCAGGAATTTGACTTGGTGCTGACTTGAGGATCTGACATGGGAATCTGACATGGCACTCTGACCTGGGAATCTGACCCACGGATCTGAGTTGGGGATCTGCATCAGGATTCTGACCTGGGAAAAGACTTGGGGATCTGATTTGGGAATCTGACTCGGGAGTCTGACTTGGGAATCTGATTTGGAAATCTGACTCGGGAGTCTGACCTGGGAATCTGACCTGGGAATCTGACATGGAAATCTGACGTAGGAATCTGACATGGGAATCTGACATGGGAATCTGACATGGGGATCTGACATGGGGATCTGACATGGCAATCTGACCTGGGAATCTGATATGGCAATCTGAGTTGGGGATCTGCCTCAAGAATCTGACCTGGGAAAAGACTTGTGAACCAGTGACTTGGGAATCTGACTCGGGAGTCTGACTTGGGAATCTGACCTGGGAATATGACATGGGAATCTGACATGGCCCTCTGATATGGGAATCTGACCTGGGAATCTGAGTTGGGGGTCTGCCTCACGAATCTGACCTGGGAAAAGTCTTGGGAATCTGACTTGGGAATCTGACATGAGAATCTAACTTGGGAATCTGAGTTGGGAATCTGACATGGGAATCTAACTTGGAAATCTGACTTGGGAATCTGACATGGGAATCTAAGGGAATCTGAGTTGGGGATCTGTCTCTTGAACCTGACCAAGGAAAAGACTTGGCCATGGGACTCGGGAATCTGACCAGGGAAAAGACTTGGCCGTGTGACTCGTGAATCTGACCAGGGAAAATACTTGGCCATGTGACCCGTGAATTTGACCTGGGGAAAGACTTGGCCATGTGACTCGTGAATCTGACGTGGGAAAAGACTTGGCCATGTGACTCGTGAATCTGACCTGGGAAAAGACTTGGCCATGTGACTCGGGAATCTGACCAGGGAAAAGACTTGGCCATGTGATCCAGGGATCTGACCTGGGAAAAGACTTGGGAATCTGACTTGGGAATCCGACTTGGGAATCTGACTCTGGAATCAGACATAGGATTCTGATGCCGGAATCTGACTCGGGAATCTGACCCAGGTATCAGACTTGAGAATGGCGGTATGGAAATCTTTCATGGGAATCTGACTTGGGAATCTGACTCGGGAATCTGACTCAGGATTATGACTCCCGAAACAGATTCAGGAACCCTCTCGCCCTCTCATCTGCCCTCCCTGACCCTCTCCTGCATCTCTCCCTGCCCTCCGCCCCCCCTGTCCTCTTCCACTCTCCCACTCTCTCTATGCTCTCTCCTCCCTCTCTCCTTGCCCTCGCGTACCCCGATCCTCTTCCTCTCTCCCCCTCTCTCCATGCACTTTACTCCCTCTCTCCTCGCCCTCGGTTACACTGCTCCTCTTCCTCTCCCCCCACCTCCTCTGTGCACTCTCCTCCCTCTCTCCTCGCCCTCGGTTACCCCTCTCCGGTGCCTCTCTCCCCCTCTCTCTATGCTCAGTCTTCCCTCTCTCCTAATCTCCTCACCCATATCTCCCTCACCCTCTCCTAAACCCGCCCCCCTTCCTTGTGCGCACCCTGCCATCCCCCTCTTTTCTGCACATCCCCCCCTCCTCATTTCTCTCTCCTCACCCTAACATCCACAGCGTCTCCCCCCCTCTCATTCCTCTCTCGTGTCCCTCCCGCCCACCATTCCATGACCTCTTGTCCACCTCTCGCCACCCTCCCATCCGCCTCCCCCCTCCAACTCATCCTCCTCTTCTATGCCCTCGGTTACCCCTTTCCTCGCCCCCTCATCCACCTCCTCTCGGCGCGTCACCCGCCTCTCCCCGCCCTCTCATCCTCCTTCCGTCACTTTCGCCCACACCGTTCACCCTCCCCATACCCCCAACCTCATGCGGCTCCGTCCCTCCCTCACCGTGCCATCCTTGCCACCTCTGCTCGTCCCCGTTCCACCTATCCTCGCCCTCCGTTCCCCCTATCCTCGCCCTCCGTTCCCCCTATCCTCGCCCTCCGTTCGCCCTATCCTCGCCCTCCGTTCCCCCTATCCTCGCCCTCCGTTCCCCCTATCCTCGCCCTCCGTTCCCCCTATCCTCGCCCTCCGTTCCCCCTATCCTCGCCCTCCGTTCCCCCTATCCTCGCCCTCCGTTCCCCCTATCCTCGCCCTCCGTTCCCCCTATCCTCGCCCTCCGTTCCCCCTATCCTCGCCCTCCGTTCCCCCTATCCTCGCCCTCCGTTCCCCCTATCCTCGCCCTCCGTTCCCCCTATCCTCGCCCTCCGTTCCCCCTATCCTCGCCCTCCGTTCCCCCTATCCTCGCCCTCCGTTCCCCCTATCCTCGCCCTCCGTTCCCCCTATCCTCTCACCTCGCAATCCGTCCCCCCTATCTACGCTGTCCGTTCCCCCTGTCCGCGCAATCCATTCCCCATCACCTCGCCATCCGTTCCCCATCACCTCACCATCCCTTCCCCCTCTCCGCGCCGTCCGCTCCCCCTCACCCCTGTCCGTTTCCCCCTATCCTCGCCGTCCGTTCACCATCTTCGCGCCATCCGTTCACGTCTCTCCTCACCGTCCGTTCTCCTTATGTGCGCCATCCGCTCCCCCTCATCCCTGTCCGTTCCCCCTATCATTGCCGTCCGTGCCCCCTATCCTCGCCGTCCATCCCCCCTATCCTCGCAGTCCGTTCCTCCTTTGCTCGCTGTCCATCCTCCCCTCTCCTCGCCATCCATCCCCTCTCGCCTCGCCATCCGTTCCCCCTATCTACGCTGTCCGTTCCCCCTCTCCGCGCCGTCCATTCCCCCTGTCTGCGCCCTCCATTCCCCCTCACCTCGCCCTCCGTTCCCCCTCACCTCGCCATCCGTTCCCCCTCACCTCGCCATCCGTTTCCCCTCACCTCGCCATCTGTTCCCACTCTCCGCGTCGTCCGCTCCCCCTCACCCTGTCCGTTCCCCCTATCCTCACTGTCCGTTCTCCCTCTCCACGCCATCTGCTCCCCCTCACCCCTGTCCGTTACCCCTATCCCCGCCGTCCGTTCCCCTTATCCTTGCTGTCCGTTCCTTCTTTGCTCGCCGTCTGTCTCCCCCTCTCCTTACAATGCGTCCCCCGATCTCCTCGCTATCCGCGGCCCCCTCTCCTTGTGGCCCGTGCCGTTTAACTGTGTTGCCTAGCCTAGGTGCGCCTGTTGTGTGTAGTTTAGGCTCCCCTGCTACGTTAGGCGTAGGATCTTCTGACTTGTTTAGCCTTGGCTCCACGCTAGTGTCCCCGTTGGCTGACATGACCGCCGCGCTCTCCTTTACGCTAGACTCTGGTGTGTCTGCCTGCTTCTTCTCGACCACATCACTCTCACGCTGCTTACCGCCCGAGCAGCTGACTCCCTTGCTGATCGTTCCTCCGGTCCGGTAGTTGCACGTAGGTCCACCAAACTTCCCTATCCGGCGGTTCCCTCGGGCTCTCTTACAGGTCTGCATATCTCCTTGTTCTCTAGGAACCTAGTTGGTGTTGGCTGCCTTCAGGACCTCGGCATCACCACTACCTTCCCTAGACACGAGCGCTATACAGCCTGTATCGAGGCCGCCACTAGTGCCCCTCTCACCACGTTCCCCTGGGACCCAGTGTCTCGACTGTTCACGCTGGACACCGCTCCCCCCCCGGTGGGGGCGTCCCCCCAGGTGGCTGCATTTACCCAGGTCGCTGCGGCTTGCTCGTGTCAGTCGCTCACTCACCCGTCGCTACTATGGCACCACAGTCTAGATCACCCCGCTCTCCTACATCTCCGTCACATGTCCCAGCACGATCTTGTATTAGGTCTCCCTGCGTCACTCCGTACCCTCCCTCCCTCGCCTGCGCCTCCGTGCACGCCTTTTGTCAAGGGCCGGCTGAGCCATGCTTCTCACTCCTCCTCGTATCCCCCCACCACCGCACCACTCCAGACCCTGCACTTGGACTCTTGGGCCCAGTCCCCATCCCTGGGCCGCGTCGCGAGCGCTACTTTCTGGTGTTCGTAGACAACTACACGCGCTACACCACGGTGTTTCCTCCGGAGCAGAAGGCCGACGTGCGTGATGTTCTTATCCCGTGGCTTGTAGATGCGCGTGCCCATGGTGCCCTGCCAGTGCTCCATCTGCACTCTGATCGTGGCGCTTAGTTCGCCTCTGGTCGGCTTGGTCAGTTCTGTCGTGCGGAGGGCATCACCCAGTCATACACACTGCCGGACTCCCCGCAACAGAATGGGGTCGCTGAGCGACGCATCGGTTTGGTCACGGAGGTAGCTCGTACCTCCATGATTCATGCCGGTGCACCCTGTTTTTTGTGGCCGTTCGTCGTGCGCTACACCGCTCACCAGCTGAACTTGTGACCGCACTCCCAGCAGCCACAGGTTTCGCCGACCCTTCTTTGGACTGGGTCCCCTAGTGCCGCATCTGCGTTTCATGTCTGCGTTTGCGTCGCTCACGTCCGCGACTCTCGCGTGGACAAGCTCACTGCCCGCACAGCCCCCTGTGTCTTTCTTGGCTTCCCCCTAGACGCATATGACTGGCACTTCTACCAACCGCCATCTCACCGCTTCTTTCACATGCGTGACATCACTTGTGACGAGTCTATGTCCTTCTATACCCGCTTTCCCGACCGACGTCTCCCGGTTACCCCGCCCCTGCTCCTTGTCCCTACTCCCCGGTAGCTCCCGCTCCCCGTCCTGCCCCGTTTGGTGTGTCTCACGTCACTCCCCTTTCATCGGTTTGCCCGGCGGAGGATTCTACTTACTCTGGGAGCCCTGAGGCTCAGGGCCCACGGCCTGCTGCTGCGGCGCCTGCCCCCTTGGCCCCGGTGTCTCCTCCCCCGCCGAAGCAGCCGCAGCCGCCGCCGCGGCCGCAGCCACTGTCACCACAGCAGCTGCAGCAGGGGTCAGTTGGGTCTGGGGTTGTTGGCGCTTTGGGTGCTGGTTCTGAGGGGGGTGCTCAATCTGGGGGCGCTAGTCCCAGCGAGTCGTGGCGAGTCATGGGGGTAACGTGGGTGCTGTCGTGGCGAGTCCTGGTGGTCCCGGGGGTGGTGCGGGTGCTGGAGAGGGTTCTAGTTCCGAGGGTGTTGATCCTGGGGGTGCTGTCGAGGCGAGTACTGGGGGTAGCCGTGGTGACGCTGGAGGTCCTAGCGTCGCATCAGCCGCAGTCGCCGTCGGTGTCTGCCCTTCACCTTCTCGGTCTTCCCTCCCCCGACCGACCGCCCGTGCCTCCCCCGGCAGTACCTCCTCCTCCTGTCTACGGTCCCGTGTTCCCTCCGCCAGACTCGTCCCCGGCTCGTTTCCCCCCTCGTTCTCCTCCTGTGTCTCCTCCGTTGTCTCCTGACCCTACCCCCCCCCATCTTGCTGGTGGTCGTAGAGCTTGTGGGCTGCCTCATGTATCTGATAACTTACACTCGTACAGATCTCGCATACCCTCTTAGTCTCCTCGCTCGCATTGTGGCGACAGGCAGATACCGACCCCAGCACTGGTCGGCCGCTAAGAGGGTGTTGCGTTATCTAGCAAGTACATCAGGCATGGGGCTAGTGATGGGAGGACGCAAGCCAGTGGTTCTCACCGGACACACAGACGCTTCATGGGCGGACGACGCTGAGACGCTCAGGTCCTCCCAGGGCTACTGCTTTAACCTTGGTGTAGGCGCTATCTCGTGCAGGTCCACCCGCTCATCGTCTGTTGCACAGTCTAGTTGTGAGGCTGAGATCTACGCTGATGCCATGGCGGCACATGAGCTCCGCTGGCTGACGTTCCTACTCACAGACTTAGGTGAGCGGCCTAGCTCTGCCTCGGTCCTGTACGCTGACAACAGGGCCATGATCCTCATGTGTCAGGAACCTCGACTTGAGGGCAAAGCGAAGCACATTCAGCTGCGGTACTTCATCCTGCTGCGAAGTATACTTGGCATCCGGTGCCAACCGAGCCGATATCTTTACTAAGACGCTTGTGCCTAGAGATATCGGCAGCACTGTGTACAACTTGGTCTAGTTCCAGTAGCTCCTCACTTGCTAAGACCCTGATTGTGTGCTACTCCTTATATGATCTTGACTGACCGTATGGCTCTTGTTCTAGTGGCTGGACTAGTAGTGCCGCCCTGTGTTACTCTTGTTTCGTTTGTACTCTTGGTGACTGGTCTTCAGATCCTTGCCTCAGCAGTTGAACTAGTAGTGCCGGCCTGAACTGCATGTCTCTTGCTAGGCACTGCCCCTTATCTAGCCTAGGGGGTTTGTCAACTTATACATATGTTGTATATGTACCGTAATCATCCGGATCAGGGCCCTAGATATCAGCCTTTTTACGCTGATTCAGCCTTTTTTCAGACATTTTGTTGGTACCAAGGCTGAACACTCAGCCTTTTTTGTTTAGTGGGCCCTGAAAAATCAGCCTTTTTATTTGTGTGTTGTCTGAATTTTCAGCCTTTCTTTTAGGGTGTACTCTGAAGCATCAGTGCATGTATGTGGGGGGGCGCTGAAACCGAGTACAGCGTCATTTGCCCGGCTCCCCCGCCCAGTCAGACACACCCACCCGCAACCCCAAAGAAATCGGCTAAGTCCTCTGCAGGCAGTCACACCGAACTCAGAACACCTGCATGCCAGAAGTTTTTTGCTAAGTCCCCCCGCAACCAGTCACACCGCACCCCACACCTAACACCCGCAAGACATATTTTTGGCGAAGTCCCCTGCAACCAGTCACAAATCACTCACACCCCTCTCATACCCCCGCAACCAAGGAAGATTTGCAGAGTCTCCGCTCCACCCCACAGCCACACACGTACCTCCCTTCTCCCACTTCCCCACAACCAAGGGTACATAGAGTACAGTTACCAGGGCTTATTTTTGACGGGTAACTACCCGGATTTTGACCAAATAACGGGTGAGTTTTGAACCAAAACCGGATTGCGACGTGTTCGATTTTCATGAACCCTGATTTGACGGGTACATTTTGACCAGAACACGTGAAGTGACGGGTTCGGTTTTGAGAAACACGGATACTAAAACTTCTCACACCACCCCACAGATCCCCCCCCCCCCGCATTCCCTCCCCCCAGGGCACATCAGCCCTAGCAAGGAAGTTCAAGAAGTAGAAGTATAAGAGCTGAGCGTAGTACTCTTACGTGGTTCCCCTTGTAGAATCCAGGAACTTTTCGTGAGAGCGTTTGTCATCACGGAGAAAATCCCGGGACTGAACCCGGACATTGACGGGTAACGTTCCAGATAAACCCATTCTGTCTGGGTCCCCCGAGAGATATACCCGGATCTGCCGTGTGGACGAAAACCCTAAGGTAAGCTATGTACCTAAACCACTGTATATGGAAAACTCCTCATGCAGACACGTGTCCCCTCCCTGTTGCGATGGTGGTGTTTGAGGGCGTATTCTTCGCCAGTAGCAGGACACTTGCCACAAACTTACAGACGCTCACGATCGTCTCCCATATCTCAGGCTGGAATATCGACCGTAAAAAACTCGCCACAAAACGGCCAGCCACATCGGTGAGGAATGCGCCCTGACTAGATGTGGGTCGGGCACCACGCTGACGCGAAATTACCTTAAAAAACCCCGCGATTGAAAGGTAATCATAAAACATTCGTGCATATTCAAGGTTTCTTTCAGCTGCATCCGGATTCCAAAGCCCAACGCAGGCCACACTTTCACCCGTTTCCGTCGGTTTCAAATTCCTAGTATCGATGCTTAGGTCGAAGGTATGTCTTACTTAGACCGGAAAATTGTCACTGCGCCAGCCAATCATCGGAATGTCAAGTGCGCAGCCAGGACATAACCTCATTACTGAAAGCCTGCGCTAATCTACAAAGCGCTGCTGAATCTGTGCATCAGACTTTTTCTTCTAGGTAACGCTGATTGATCAGCGAAATTTTTTTTGCCAACACTGAAAATTCAGCCTTTTTTCCAGGGGCAAGGCTGATACATCAGCCTAATTTTGGGGGGTGAGGCTGACGAATCAGCGTACCCAAAAATGAATCTTAGGCCCTGATCCGGATAGACGCCCCTCCGTAGGATAAGTCCCATGGGCTTTATCTCGTGCTTTGGGCCTTATAGCTATTATTTGATTAAACGCCCCCCTTACTTTTCGAAAGTGTGTACCCTATACGCCCCTCTTTTATTTCGTAAAAACCGTGCAAAACGGAAGGAACGAGTTCGCGCCAGCAGGATTCGCGTCAGAGCCATCTGCTTCCAGCCTGGCACATTGCCGACTGGACTTTCAGCCTGATGGACTTGAGAATCTTCATTAGAAGTGATCCCATCGCATGAAGCAAAGCATAAGCTACAATTTGATGTAGAAAAATCAATTTCCTTATATACCTTTTTAAACGCCCACGGGCGTATATATTTTTTTCAATTAAACGCCCCCCCACGTTTTCAAACCAGTCCTATAAACGCCCCTAGGGGCGTCTATCCGGGTGATTACGGTGGCAGTTTTAGGCTAGATGGGTACATGCTTTTAGAGAGTACAACTCCCAACCGTATAGCTCCCTCCCTCGTATCCCTTGTGTGAGTTCACTTCCTAATCCGAACAGTAAGAGAAGTGTTTTCAATCCTATTCCTTGTCTCTTGTCTCACCTCTCCTCTCTCCAATCCTTTCTCTTCTCCCGCGTTCCTTCTTCTCCCAAATGCTCCTTGAACTCTCTACCTCGCCTGTCCTCTCCCCTCTCCCGTTCCCCCTCTCCTCGTCCCCGTCGTTCTCCCGAAGGCACATCATCCCAATCCCCCGCCCTCCCTCTTCTCTCCCCAGCATGCCCAACGCCATGCTCCCCCTTGCCATGCCTTGTGCTGTCCCTGCCCCCGTCTCTCCCCCTCCTTTCCTCTTCAGGCCTGCCCCTCCTTTCCTCTTCAGGCCTGCCCCTCCTTTCCTCTTCAGGCCTGCTCCTTTTTTCCTCCCAGCCCACTTCTCTGCTCCTCTCACGCCGTTTTGTTGAATCTCGCCCACCTTCTTCACTCCTATCGCTCCTCTCTCCCTCCCTCGCTGGACTGATCTCTCCATCTCTTGAATACCCACTCTGTCTACCCGTTCTCTTCCTGCTCGCCTCCTCAACTTTCTCTTCCCCCTTCCCTCTTCTTCCCTCTTCACCCCTCGTTCTCGTCCCTCCCTCTTCCTCTCTCTCCCTTCCTTCGTCCCCTCTCCCCCTCTTTCGCTCCGCCTCCTCCCTCCAGGAGGGCCTCTCTCCTCTGCCTCGCCCGTCTCCCCCACGCCCATCATCTCCGTGCTGCTTCTGCCCACTGCCTCCATCCGCCTTCCCTCCCCTCTCCTCCCTTCCCCCCCGAGGGCCCCCCTCTCCTCTTCCAAGCGTCTCCTCAAGCCCTCGCCTGCCATCTCTCTCCTTGCCAGCTCCCCTCTCCCTCCTCACTTGTTCCTCGCTCTTCCTAGCCCTCTCCTCCTCTTCCCTCCTTTCCCACTTCTCCCTTCCTTCCTCACTGTTCTTCCCATACCTCCTCACAACTCCCCTCTCCTCACCCCTCTCTCTCCTCCCGCTCCCCCTCTCGTCCACCACTCTTGTTTCCCGGGCCACTCCTCCCCTCTCCTCTCCTCCATCCTCCTCTCCTCCTTCATCCCACCTCCTCTTCCTCTCTCGCCTCCCGTCCTGCCTCGGACTCCCACCACCCCGTCCTCCTTCCTCGCCGCCACCTCCTCCCCTCGCTCGCCCCCTTTCCCCATTGAGCCGAGCAGCAATCTCCCGCGCACGGGCTAGGGCCTCTGCAGTAAGAGCAGCCACATCCGCACCGCCACCAGCGCCACCACCAGCCGCAGCGCCATTGCCTGCTCCACGCTCCCTTCCGTCTCGCTCCTTCCCCTCCCTCCTCTTCGGCTCTCCTGCATGCATGCCCCTCCGTCCCTCCCCCTCTGCCCTGCCCTCCCCCTCCTCCTCCTCCCCATCAAACACAAGGTCGTAGCTGCCAGACAGCGGTGGCAGAGGGAGGGATGTTGGGGCAGAGAGACGGATAACAGAGGATGGTTAATGTCGACTGTGAAGGGGACAAGAGCGATAGCTGAAGCACGGGTAGATGGAGTTACTCTCGAGCCCGCCAGAAAGCTAAGTCTCCTTGGTGCAAGCAGAGGGATTGGGGCAGTAAGTGGGCGTGAGGCAGTGCTCCAGACGAAGCGATTCGCGAGGCCGTGTGTGCGCCATCAGGCCAACTTACTGCATCCCATCAGCTGCGTCAGCCATCTGGCTCCAAAAAGCTTCAGCCAGCCATTGGCTGTGACTCTCAAACCCCCTTGGGCCTTGTCCCCACATGAGCTCGTGCGCACCCTCTCAGTCTCCTCCACTCATCCGTTCATCTCCTCACCTCCTCCGCTGGTCGCCTCTCTGCCTGTGCCCCGACTCCTTCAGCTCCAGCCGCCTCTGCCTGCCCTGCCCCTCCTCCTCCTTATCCTCCCCAGCCTCCTCCCCGCCACCAATCCGCCCCCCTCCCCCTCCTCCCCCATTCGGGCACTCCCTAACCATGTGCCCCTCTTCCCCGCAGTTGAAGCACGCCCGCGTGCCACCAGCACCGCCCCTACCCCCACCGCGACCCCGTCCGCCCCCTCTCCCTCCTCCCCTCCCTCCGCCACCCCCAGCGAGGGCAGCATGCGCGCCGGCAGCAGCGGCGGAGTCGTGGGCTCCGAAGCGGCGGAAGCGCGACCACAGGCGCCCCACGCTCTGGCTGAAGTCCACGTGCACGCGGCGGTCGTCGATCAACACGTTGTCCATCTGGGGAGGGGGGGGGGTAAAAGTGCACATGACGATTGTTGATTGGAACATTGTTTATGGTAACCAGCAAGCACGGATGCAACAAGCAAGGTGCAAGCTAGGTGCTGCATGTACCTTGAAGTAAGCTGCCTCACACGCCTCCTTTGTCTCGAACTCTGAACGAGATGCAAGGGGAGAGAAGAAGGCAGGGGGGGGGGGAGGGCAGGAGGAGAACGTGGCATGAGCATGAGAATGGGAATATGGCGCACATGAAAGCACATAGCCTGCCATATCAAGCATGATGCACCGTCCCATCGACCCCATATCATGTCCCATCGCCCCCGTGTCATGTCCCATCGCCCCCATGTCATGTCCCATCGTCCCCATGTCATGTCCCATCGCCCCCAAGTCATGTCACATCGCCCTCATGTCATGTCCCATCGCCCCCATGTCATGTCCCATCGTCCCCATATCATGTCCCATCGTCCCCATGTCATGTCCCATCGTCCCCATGTCATGTCCCATCGTCCCCATGTCATGTCCCCTCGTCCCCATGTCATGTCCCATCGCCCCCATGTCATGTCCCATCGTCCCCATATCATGTCCCATCGTCCCCATGTCATGTCCCATCGTCCCCATGTCATGTCCCATCGTCCCCATGTCATGTCCCGTCATCCCTATGTCATGTCCCCTCGTCCCCATGTCATGTCCCATCGTCCCCATGTCATGTCCCATCGTCCCCATGTCACGTCCCATTGTCCCCATGTCATGTCCCATTGTCCCCATGTCATGTCCCATCATCCCCATGTCATGTCCCATGGTCCCCATGTCATGTCCCATGGTCCCCATGTCATGTCCCATTGTCCCCATGTCACGTCCCATCGTCCCCATGTCATGTCCCATTGTCCCCATGTCACGTCCCATCGTCCCCATGTCAGGTCCCATCGTCCCCATGTCACGTCCCAGCGTCCCCATGTCATGTCCCATTGTCCCCATGTCATGTCCCATCGTCCCCATGTCATGTCCCATCGTCCCCATGTCATGTCCCATCGTCCCCATGTCATGTCCCCTCGTCCCCATGTCATGTCCCATCGCCCCCATGTCATGTCCCATCGTCCCCATATCATGTCCCATCGTCCCCATGTCATGTCCCATCGTCCCCATGTCATGTCCCATCGTCCCCATGTCATGTCCCGTCGTCCCTATGTCATGTCCCCTCGTCCCCATGTCATGTCCCATCGTCCCCATGTCATGTCCCATCGTCCCCATGTCACGTCCCATTGTCCCCATGTCATGTCCCATTGTCCCCATGTCATGTCCCATCATCCCCATGTCATGTCCCATCGTCCCCATGTCATGTCCCATCGTCCCCATGTCATGTCCCATTGTCCCCATGTCACGTCCCATCGTCCCCATGTCATGTCCCATTGTCCCCATGTCACGTCCCATCGTCCCCATGTCAGGTCCCATCGTCCCCATGTCACGTCCCAGCGTCCCCATGTCATGTCCCATTGTCCCCATGTCATGTCCCATCGTCCCCATGTCATGTCCCATCGTCCCCATGTCATGTCCCATCGTCCCCATGTCATGTCCCATTGTCCCCATGTCATGTCCCATCGTCCCCATGTCATGTCCCATCGTCCCCATGTCATGCCCCATCGTCCCCATGTCATGTCCCATTGTCCCCATGTCATGTCCCATCGTCCCCATGTCCCATCGTCCCCATGTCATGTCCCATCGTCCCCTTGTCACGTCCCATTGTCCCCATGTCATGTCCCATTGTCCCCATGTCACGTCCCATCGTCCCCATGTCATGTCCCATCGTCCCCATGTCACGTCCCATCGTCCCCATGTCCCATCGTCCCCATGTCATGTCCCATCGTCCCCATGTCATGCCCCATCGTCCCCATGTCATGTCCCATCGTCCCCATGTCATGTCCCATCGTCCCCATGTCCCATCGTCCCCATGTCATGTCCCATCGTCCCCATGTCATGTCCCATCGTCCCCATGTCCCATCATCCCCATGTCATGTCCCATCGTCCCCATGTCATGTCCCATCGTCCCCATGTCATGTCCCATTGTCCCCATGTCATGTCCCATCGTCCCCATGTCATGTCCCATTGTCCCCATGTCACGTCCCATCGTCCCCATGTCATGTCCCATCGTCCCCATGTCATGTCCCATCGTCCCCATGTCATGTCCCATCGTCCCCATGTCATGTCCCATTGTCCCCATGTCATGTCCCATTGTCCCCATGTCACGTCCCATCGTCCCCATGTCACGTCCCATCGTCCCCATGTCATGTCCCATCGTCCCCATGTCACGTCCCATCGTCCCCATGTCATGTCCCATCGTCCCCATGTCATGTCCCATCGTCTCCATGTCATGTCCCATTGTCCCCATGTCATGTCCCATCATCCCCATGTCATGCCCCATCGTCCCCATGTCATGTCCCATCGTCCCCATGTCATGTCCCATCGTCCCCATGTCATGTCCCATCGTCCCCATGTCATGTCCCATCGTCCCCATGTCATGTCCCATTGTCCCCATGTCATGTCCCATCGTCCCCATGTCATGTCCCATTGTCCCCATGTCACGTCCCATCGTCCCCATGTCATGTCCCATTGTCCCCATGTCATGTCCCATCGTCCCCATGTCATGCCCCATCGTCCCCATGTCATGTCCCATCGTCCCCATGTCATGTCCCATCGTCCCCATGTCATGTCCCATCGTCCCCATGTCATGTCCCATCGTCCCCATGTCATGTCCCATTGTCCCCATGTCATGTCCCATCGTCCCCATGTCATGTCCCATTGTCCCCATGTCACGTCCCATCGTCCCCATGTCATGTCCCATCGTCCCCATGTCATGTCCCATCGTCCCCATGTCATGTCCCATCGTCCCCATGTCATGTCCCATCGTCCCCATGTCATGTCCCATCGTCCCCATGTCATGTCCCATCGTCCCCATGTCATGTCCCATCGTCCCCATGTCATGTCCCATCGTCCCCATGTCATGTCCCATCGTCCCCATGTCATGTCCCATCGTCCCCATGTCATGTCCCATCGTCCCCATGTCACGTCCCATCGCCCCGTATCCCGTCCCATGCGCGCACCAATGAAGCCGTAGCAGAGGCTGTCGCCTGTCTTCTGGTCGCGAATGATGTCCGCTCTGAGGGGTGGGGGGGTTTGGTGGGATGGGATGGGATGGGATGGGATGGGATGGGTTGAAAAGCGCAGCCAGGGATTCATGACGCAGCGTAGCATGATACTGTGATGTGAGGCATGCAATCAGGAGCCCACACGATACATGGCATGCAAAAGATTCCTCAGGACAGAGCCAACAGAGGTCATGTACGTGGATAGGTGGTCCCACGAAGCACAGGGCACCAGACGAGGGGCTGCGCAGAGCAGAGGCGAGAGGGCGAAGAACTCACGCGACGACCGTCCCGAAGCGAGAGAAGATGATCTCCAGGTCATCGTCCTGCACGTGGGGCCATGCATGCCGTGGCATGGCGTGGCGTGGGACGAGGCAGAAAGCGGGTTGAGCATTGCGGCGGGTGGAACAAGGCAATGACGCATAGGATGCCCCGACGATGCAACCACATGCCCCAACGATGCAGCCACATGCCCCAACGATGCAGCCACATGCCCCAACGATGCAGCCACATGCTCCAACGATGCAGCCACATGCCCCATGCTGCATGAGAGGTGAGGGGCCGCCCAGTGCGTGAGCCACCTAGGGCACCTGTGAGGTACCTGAGAGGCACCTGAGAGGCACCTGAGGGGCAGGTAGCTGACCTGCGTGACGGGGTTGAGCTTGCAGATGAAGAGCACATTCTCCGGCGGCTTGAACTCTGCCTCGGGCAGATCGCCGATCTGGAAAGGGGGGGCGGGGGGGACGAGACCAAGGTGAAGGGTGGGATAAAGAGGAGGGGGTGGTAGTAGGCGAGGGAGAGGAGGAGTGTGGGAGCAAGGGCAAGAGGGGAAGAATCAAACCCTAGAATCGCTAGACGGGACTGGGAGGAAGGGATAGGGAAAGGAGGAGCATGCGCATGGGGTGAGGGAGGATGCCAAAGGCAGCGAGGCACAAAGATCGTGCCTGACTCCATGGATTGTGCTTGCCTGCCCATGCAACATGCCTACACCTCTACTTGCCCCCATTCCTCTCCATGGCTTCATCATGCCATGCCAGCACCCCTCCATCCCACTATCCCCCACCCACAGTAAGAACACCCACAGCAACTCCGCCTCCCCATGCCCGTGACCGTCACCTCATGCCCCTTTCCAGCTCCCCACATTCACCTTTCCAGCTCCCCACATTCACCTTTCAAGCCCCCCACCAAGAACCTCCACCTCTTCTCCCTCCCCTTGCTCATCTCACATCACCACACACAACCTTCCCCTTCCCCCCCCATCCTCACCCTTCACGTCGTCTCACCATCTCGAGCACCACGGATCTGGACTGCGCCTCTCTGCGGCGCACCTCCCTCTCCACGTCCTCCGCCGCGCGCCCCTCGTCCATGGGCACCCAGTCGTCCTCCAGCCTCACATCCCCGCCCTGGGGGGCCACGACACAGGCAACGAGAAGGCGCCAGACAGGAAGGGGCCGGTGAACGACACACACAGTGAGGGCTTCACACAGCCATCCCCACGCCGATGCCCCATGCCCCATGCCCCATGCCCCATGCCCCATGCCCCATGCCCCATGCCCCATGCCCCATGCCCCATGCCCATGCCCCATGCCCCATGCCCCATGCCCCATGCCCCATGCCCCATGCCCCATGCCCCATGCCCCATGGCCTGGCAGCCAGAAAACCAGGCGGGGCAGAGCACCAGGGGGGGGAGAGCACCAGGGGGGGAGAGCACCAGGGGGGCAGAGCACCAGGGGGGGGAGAGCACCAGGGGGGGAGAGCACCAGGGGGGGGAGAGCACCAGGGGGGGAGAGCACCAGGGGGGGGAGAGCACCAGGGGGGGAGAGCACCAGGGGGGCAGAGCACCAGGGGGGGAGAGCACCAGGGGGGGAGAGCACCAGGGGGGGGAGAGCACCAGGGGGGGGAGAGCACCAGGGGGGAGAGCACCAGGGGGGCGGAGCACCAGGGAGGGAGAGCACCAGGGGGGAGAGCACCAGGGGGGGAGAGCACCAGGGGGGCAGAGCACCAGGGGGGGAGAGCACCAGGGGGGAGAGCACCAGGGGGGGGAGAGCACCAGGGGGGGAGAGCACCAAGGGGGCAGAGCACCAGGGGGGGGAGAGCACCAGGGGGGGAGAGCACCAGGGGGGGGAGAGCCACAGGGGGGGGGAGAGCACCAGGGGGGTAGAGCACCAGGGGGGGCGGAGCACCAGGGAGGGAGAGCACCAGGGGGGGAGAGCACCAGGGGGGAGAGCACCGGGGGGGCAGAGCACCAGGGGGGCAGAGCACCAGGGGGGGAGAGCACCAGGGGGGAGAGCACCAGGGGGGGCGGAGCACCAGGGAGGGAGAGCACCAGGGGGGGGAGAGCACCAGGGGGGGAGAGTACCAGGGGGGGAGAGCACCAGGGGGGGGAGAGCACCAGGGGGGGAGAGCACCAGGGGGGGCGGAGCACCAGGGAGGGAGAGCACCAGGGGGGGAGAGCACCAGGGGGGGAGAGCACCAGGGGGGGAGAGCACCAGGGGGGCAGAGCACCAGGGGGGGGAGAGCACCAGGGGGGAGAGCACCAGGGGGAGAGCACCAGGGGGGCAGAGCACCAGGGGGGGGAGAGCACCAGGGGGGGAGAGCACCAGGGGGGGGAGAGCACCAGGGGGGGAGAGCACCAGGGGGGCAGAGCACCAGGGGGGGGAGAGCACCAGGGGGGGAGAGCACCAGGGGGGGGAGAGCACCAGGGGGGGAGAGCACCAGGGGGGCAGAGCACCAGGGGGGGAAGAGCACCAGGGGGGGAGAGCACCAGGGGGGGGAGAGCACCAGGGGGGGAGAGCACCAGGGGGGGAGAGCACCAGGGGGGGAGAGCACCAGGGGGGGAGAGCACCAGGGGGGGAGAGCACCAGGGGGGGAGAGCACCAGGGGGGCGAGAGCACCAGGGGGGGGAGAGCACCAGGGGGGGAGAGCACCAGGGGGGGCGGAGCACCAGGGAGGGAGAGCACCAGGGGGGGAGAGCACCAGGGGGGGAGAGCACCAGGGGGGCAGAGCACCAGGGGGGCAGAGCACCAGGGGGGGAGAGCACCAGGGGGGAAGAACACCAGGGGGGCGGAGCACCAGGGAGGGAGAGCACCAGGGGGGGGAGAGCACCAGGGGGGGAGAGCACCAGGGGGGGAGAGCACCAGGGGGGCAGAGCACCAGGGGGGGGAGAGCACCAGGGGGGAGAGCACCAGGGGGGAGAGAGCACCAGGGGGGAGAGCACCAGGGGGGCAGAGCACCAGGGGGGGAGAGCACCAGGGGGGCAGAGCACCAGGGGGGGAGAGCACCAGGGGGGGAGAGCACCAGGGGGGGAGAGCACCAGGGGGGAGAGCACCAGGGGCGGGAGAGCACCAGGGGGGAGAGCACCAGGGGGCAGAGCACCAGGGGGGGAGAGCACCAGGGGGGAGAGCACCAGGGGGGGAGAGCACCAGGGGGGCAGAGCACCAGGGGGGGAGAGCACCAGGGGGGGAGAGCACCAGGGGGGGAGAGCACCAGGGGGGGAGAGCACCAGGGGGGCAGAGCACCAGGGGGGGGAGAGCACCAGGGGGGGAGAGCACCAGGGGGGGTAGAGCACCAGGGGGGGAGAGCACCAGGGGGGGGAGAGCACCAGGGGGGGAGAGCACCAGGGGGGCAGAGCACCAGGGGGGGGAGAGCACCAGGGGGGGAGAGCACCAGGGGGGGAGAGCACCAGGGGGGGAGAGCACCAGGGGGGCAGAGCACCAGGGGGGGGAGAGCACCAGGGGGGGAGAGCACCAGGGGGGGAGAGCACCAGGGGGGGAGAGCACCAGGGGGGGGAGAGCACCAGGGGGGGAGAGCACCAGGGGGGGGAGAGCACCAGGGGGGGGAGAGCACCAGGGGGGGAGAGCACCAGGGGGGGCGGAGCACCAGGGAGGGAGAGCACCAGGGGGGGAGAGCACCAGGGGGGAGAGCACCAGGGGGGCAGAGCACCAGGGGGGCAGAGCACCAGGGGGGCAGAGCACCAGGGGGGGAGAGCACCAGGGGGGAAGAACACCAGGGGGGCGGAGCACCAGGGAGGGAGAGCACCAGGGGGGGAGAGCACCAGGGGGGGAGAGCACCAGGGGGGGAGAGCACCAGGGGGGCAGAGCACCAGGGGGGGAGAGCACCAGGGGGGGAGAGCACCAGGGGGGAGAGAGCACCAGGGGGGGAGAGCACCAGGGGGGCAGAGCACCAGGGGGGGGAGAGCACCAGGGGGGCAGAGCACCAGGGGGGGGAGAGCACCAGGGGGGAGAGCACCAGGGGGGGAGAGCACCAGGGGGGGAGAGCACCAGGGGCGGGAGAGCACCAGGGGGGGAGAGCACCAGGGGGGCAGAGCACCAGGGGGGGGAGAGCACCAGGGGGGGAGAGCACCAGGGGGGGAGAGCACCAGGGGGGCAGAGCACCAGGGGGGGGAGAGCACCAGGGGGGGGAGAGCACCAGGGGGGGAGAGCACCAGGGGGGGCGAGCACCAGGGGGGCAGAGCACCAGGGGGGGAGAGCACCAGGGGGGGAGAGCACCAGGGGGGGTAGAGCACCAGGGGGGAGAGCACCAGGGGGGGGAGAGCACCAGGGGGGGCAAGGTGCAAAAATACGGTCGTTTTTTATTTTTTTTGCCTTATTATACGGAATCGTATGATATGGTCGTATAAAACGGTTTAAAACGGTCAAAAGCTGTGTTTTTTGGTTGGTGCAAAAATACGGTCGAAAAATACGACCGTATTTTTCGAACCAACCAATATTTGCATGCTTAGGGCTTGTAACGAAATCGCAATGTGGGTTGGTTGGATCTTGAATGTTTGTCAGGTCGAAGTGATGGTTTTTCGCCGAGGCGCGATTCCAACATTTTGTCGAGCCGCCTGATGCCAACATTTGACGAAGAGAGAACGGGCTGTACACCCGTTTCGCCTGTGTCGTTGGGTTGCTTCCCGCCCTGTAGACTCAATTTTCGCGGGCCAAGCGACCTCCCCAAAAATTCGCGTGTCGCAAATTCGAATCGTGACCAATCACACTTGGTCATTTGCGATCCCTACCAACAAGGTCTTTCCACGTCGCTCAAGAATGCAGGTTGGCCACCAGGTACAAACTTGGAGCACTTCCAGAAAGGTGAGCACACTCTTGTACGCAGCTCACCTCGCACGATCGAATCCACCGCACGATTTTCTCAGCTACTGGCGTTACTGTGTACGCCATGCCTAGGAAGCTATCCGACATTTGGGAGCATGTTAAGAAGGTGAAGGAGCCGACCGGCCTTGTTATTAGCACAGTTTGCATTCATTGTGGCTCTAGTGTCACTCCAAACGCGACCAGGATAGGGCAGCATATCTATGGCACCCCTAGCTCGATGGAGAAGAATGTCTCCACTTGCCCGTCGGACTACGCGAAGCAGCTGCGTGAGAGCAACCAAGAAGAACGTTCCACGTCCCCTGACGGCACGCAAGGACGAGCTTCGTCCTCGACGGTGCACTCTGCCCCGCGCTCGCGTCAGCAAGACATTCGCGAGCTAGCTGATGTGGCTGGCCGCCAGCGGTTGGATTATCTTTGGGCGACAGTGGTCGCTGAAAACCACCTCGCGTTTCGGACATCACAGTCGCCGGCCTTGCAGGCCTTCGTCAACGCGGCAGTCCAGTTTGGGAAGCTGTACAAGCTTCCATCCGCGTACAAGGTCAGCGGGCCGCTGCTCGCGAAACTCAAGACCGACACGGAGGAGTTGCTGCAGCCGCTGAAGGACACGTGGAGGACCAGTGGCGTTTCTCTTACCGTCGACGGCTGGTCCTGCCTTAAGAGTCGCGGATTCGTGGGCGTAATCGCTCAGAACGATACGGCACCCGTAGTCGTCGACGTCGTCGACTCCAAAACCGCGAAAAAGACGGGGAGCTACCTCGCGGAGCTTATTCGACGGTCGATCTGCAACGTGGGGGACCGGCTCGTCATCCAGGTGGTCATGGATAACGCCTCTAACAACAAGAAGGCGGGGGCGTTGTTGAAGGAGGGGTACCCGCAAATCTTCTACACCAACTGCGCCGCCCATTGCCTCGACTTAATGCTGCACGACATAGGAGCAATCCGCGCCGTGCAGCGCATCCTCGGGCAGGTGCACAGGGTGGTGATGATGGTGAAGAAGTCAGCCTTCGCGGTCACTTTGTTCCGCGAGGTCTTCAGCTCCTTGGAGCTTATGCGCCCGGGAGCTACACGTTTCGGGACGCAAGTGCTGATGATCGGGCGCTTCCTCGAAGTGAAGAAGGCCCTGCGGGAGATGGTGATCAGCGATGCATGGGAGGAGGTGCTAGTTTCCCCCACGGAGGAGGGGAAAGCAATTCGCAGCCTCCTCCTCGAGGACGTTTTCTGGGAAAGCGTCGCCGTGGTGCTCAAGCTCATGACACCCATCTACGAGGTCCTGAGGCGGGTCGACAAGCGATGTCTCCTCATGGGCCAGATCTATGGCCTCATGCTGGAGGCCACTGTCAAGACCACCGACGCGGCAGAGGCGGCAGGTAAGCCAACCTCTTGCTTGCCCATTTCCCCCCGCGGCGTGCGAGCGGCACTCATGTGTCATTCCCATGGGCGTTCTTAGCTGTACCTAATCTCACCCTCCCTCGGCACGTCTGCTCCCCGTGCAGCCGCCTTCTTTGTCAAGCGGACGGCGTTGCTCGAGGCGAAGGACAAGGCGAGTTTCCTCGTCACGGTGAAGAAGATCATCGCCAACCGCTGGGATGGTCAACTGCACAACCCGCTCCACGCTGCGGGGTGGCTCCTGAATCCCCGCAACCAGTACGTGGGGGAGGTGCGGAATGACCCTGAGGTGAGGCAGGGGGCAGAGGAGGTGTTTTTGGCGAGGGGAGGGGATGTACCTCGGCGCACCATGCTCGCGGCTCAGCTGGCAACCTTCCACAAGGGGGAGGGCCGTCTGGGATCCGTGGAGGCCCGTTGGGCAACGACGGCTCTGGTGGAGAGCGGGCGGCTCTCCGACGCCGAGTGGTGGTGGATGTACGGCGGCGAGGTGGTCGCCTTGCAGGAGCTGGCTGTGATGATCTTGTCACAGCCAGTTACATCCTGCGAGGTTGAGCGCTACTGGTCGGCTCTGGCTCGTGTCCAAACGCGCGACCGCAACAGGCTGAACGCCTCCACCATGACGGACGTGACGTTCGTCGCGTTCGGCAGGCGGGCGCGAACAGCCTTTGACCAGAAGGTCGAGGCTCGAGCTCAGCTGTACGACGACCTCACCAATGGCACTCTGAAGGAGGGTGCCAACATCACCCCACCCCCCCGTGTGGAAGGCGAGGCCAACAAGGAGGTAGAGGAGGAGGGCGGGGAGGTGTGTACCATCGACTGGGATGCCTTTGGCAACATCGGCGGGCGGAAGAAGAAGGCGGCATCCAAGGCTCGGGGCAAGAAGCGGGCCAAGAAGGGTAGGGGGTCCCGTAAGGGGAAGGAGAAAGTGGCCTACGATGAGGAGGAGGAGGAGGAGGAGGAGGAGGAGGAGGAGGAGGAGGAGGAGGAGGAGGAGGAGGAGGAGGAGGAGGAGGAGGAGGAGGAGGAGGAGGAGGATGAGGAAGAGGAGGAGGATGAGGAGGTCGAGGAGGAGGGCGAGGACGAGGAGGAGGGCGAGGGCAGTGGATCAAAGGAGCCTCGCAAGAGGGCCAAGGGGAGCAACCCCTGGGATTGCAGCGATGGTGACAGTGGGGCGGATGAGGAGGAGGACGAGGAGTAGTAGTGTGAGGAGGAGGTCGCGCCACGAGGAGGAGTAGGGGCCGAGGGAGTGGTACGCCGAGGAGGAGGGGGAGGAGGAGTAGGAGGTAGATTAAACGTACCTCTAGTCATGGTAGTTGACCACCTTAGCGTCGTGTCGTCCACCTTAGGCAAGTTGTACCGCACGTCCGCAATTTTTGAGTTTTTTTTTTTGGTCGAAAATCCGTCTAATAAAAAAACGGCCGTATTTTTCAAAATACAACCGTATAAAACGAACCGAAAAAAACGACCGTATAATACGAAAACCGTATTTTTCCACCCTGAGGGGGGGAGAGCACCAGGGGGGCAGAGCACCAGGGGGGGGAGAGCACCAGGGGGGCAGAGCACCAGGGGGGGGAGAGCACCAGGGGGGAGAGCACCAGGGGGGGGAGAGCACCTATGTTGGAAAATACGCGTACTGCGTTTTATACGCTAGCGTATATACGCTTGCGTATATACGCTATACGCTTGGATTTGGGGTCCAATACGGCAGGAATACGCATGCCCGGGCAGGAAAAAAGGTTTGCCCGGGCAGGGTAACAAAACCAGGGGGCAGCAAGGAAGCCATGATGGTAGCGGCTAGGCTAGGGTTTCTGAAAACGTGACTCTCAAATGAGAGGCATTTTCTGAGGGGTCGAATTTTGACCTGCCAATTCCCTCCCTTTCACCGCACTCAACCCCCCCGTCTACAAAGTCAAATTGGCTTCCAGCCAACCAACTCCCTCCCTTTCACCGCACTGAACTCCCACCCATCTACAAACTCCAACCTTTCCTCACAAATGCTCGACTCTCCCCCCCATCATCTCCCCCATCACTTTGGTAGAAGACTAACAAGCACCGTAACTCGCGCAATCGCCGCCACCTAGCTAAGCACACCACCGTTTCGCTTCAGAGCTGAGATTTGGACGGAAATGGGGAACGGCAAACACGGGATGGCTTTCAATCACGTACAGAGCAGGCTGGGCTATGGGCAAAAAAGAATGGGCGAAAAAACCGCGACGTCGCGAAGTCGCGGAAAAAAAAAATATAAGTTTTTTTTTTCGCCGGGCAGCCCGGGTATCGCGTATCGCGTATTCCAAGCGTATCAGCGTATTGCGTATATTCGCAAGCGTATATACGCAATACGCAAAGCCTTCTGTGCGTATATTCCAACATAGGAGAGCACCAGGGGGGGGAGAGCACCAGGGGGGGAGAGCACCAGGGGGGGCGGAGCAGCAGGGAGGGAGAGCACCAGGGGGGGAGAGCACCAGGGGGGGAGAGCACCAGGGGGGCAGAGCACCAGGAGGGGGAGAGCACCAGGGGGGGAGAGCACCAGGGGGGGAGAGCACCAGGGGGGAGAGCACCAGGGGGGCAGAGCACCAGGAGGGGGAGAGCACCAGGGGGGAGAGCACCAGGGGGGGAGAGCACCAGGGGGGGAGAGCACCAGGGGGGCAGAGCACCAGGGGGGGAGAGCACCAGGGGGGGAGAGCACCAGGGGGGTAGAGCACCAGGGGGGGAGAGCACCAGGGGGCAGAGCACCAGGGGGCAGAGCACCAGGGGGGGAGAGCACCAGGGGGGGAGAGCACCAGGGGGGAGAGCACCAGGGGGGGAGAGCACCAGGGGGGGAGAGCACCAGGGGGGCAGAGCACCAGGGGGGGAGAGCACCAGGGGGGGAGAGCACCAGGGGGGGGAGTGCACCAGGGGGGGAGAGCACCAGGGGGGGAGAGCACCAGGGGGGCGGAGCACCAGGGAGGGAGAGCACCAGGGGGGGAGAGCACCAGGGGGGGAGAGCACCAGGGGGGCAGAGCACCAGGGGGGGGAGAGCACCAGGGGGGGAGAGCACCAGGGGGGGAGAGCACCAGGGGGGCAGAGCACCAGGGGGGGAGAGTACCAGGGGGGAGAGCACCAGGGGGGGAGAGCACCAGGGGGGGGAGAGCACCAGGGGGGGGAGAGCACCAGGGGGGGAGAGCACCAGGGGGGAGAGCACCAGGGGGGCAGAGCACCAGGGGGGGGAGAGCACCAGGGGGGGAGAGCACCAGGGGGGGAGAGCACCAGGGGGGGGAGAGCACCAGGGGGGGCAGAGGTGAGACGACAAGAGCAAGCAGAAGGAGAGAAAGGCACATGGGCAAAGAGAGTCCATGCAACGAGGGAGAGTGGTGCCGTCGAGAGTGGTGCGGTCGAGAGTGGTGCGATCGAGAGTGGTGCGATCAAGAGTGGTGCGGTCAAGAGTGGTGCGGTCGAGAGTGCAGGAAGCAAGTGAAGTCGAAGAGCAAAGGGCGTCTGGGGTGGTGGCGGTACGGGATGTGGCACTGAGAGCAATGAGAGCAATGACAGCAACGACAGCAATGACAGCAATGACAGCAATGACAGCAATGACAGCAATGACAGCAATGACAGCAATGACAGCAATGACAGCAATGACAGCAATGACAGCAATGACAGCAATGACAGCAATGACAGCAATGACAGCAATGACAGAAATGACTGTGGGGCAGCTCAACAGTACTGGAGGACAAGATGGGAGCACTCACAGCAGCAGGTGGGTTCAACGGAGCACTCACGGCAGCAGGCGGTTTCATCTCAGGGGAGGCGTCAGGGATGAGGTCAGCCAGCCCCGGCGGGTCATCGAAGGGGTCGTCCAGCACGTGCGTGTGGCGGATGCTGGCAGGGCGGAGGGGGGCGAGGGGGAGCGAGCACAGAGGGGCAAGGCAGGGAGAGTGATGCAGGTGTCGTGTGGGGCGCCCAGAACCAGCCCCGCACGGCATTGTAAGGGATCGTCCCACATGTGGCTCTGGCGGACGCTGGGAGGGCGGAATCAGGGGGAGTGGTATGAGGAGTGGCAATGGTGCAGATGTCTGTACCGGCACAAGTGACGGGAGGGTGTCACTTCAAGCTTACTGCGACACACACCTGCAGCTGCTCACAACCAGATGATACCCCAAGGCATGGAACGAACACTGTCCTTGCACGTATCCCACAGCATTCGAAAACTGCCTCCGCATGTACCGGATGTTCTTGAAGGGGCGGCCGTTGTCGTCCACAAAGGCAGCGTTGATGCGCTGCAGCGTGTCCAGCCCCTCCGCCACCTCGCCGAATATCTGACGCCGGCACACATGGAGCAGCAATGATGGCGGTAGAAAAGCAATGTCGCTACGGCAGGGCGTGGCGAAAGGGGAAGCAGCGAAGAGAGGCGCGCGGCAGTGGAGAGAGAAGATGCAGGTGGAGTGGAGGTGAGGCGCTCACCGTGTGCTTGCCGTCCAGCGAGTCCAGCCCGGCTCGAGTGGTGATGTAGAACTGGGGGGGGCGGCGGGGGGGGGGGCACTGAGCGAATGACGACCAGATATCTTGTTTGATATTGTGGCCGTGTTTGAACAACCGGGAGAGAGCGATTGCGAGAGGCAGGTGGTGGGGCGGGAGGGGGCATGGGAGAAATGGGAATCACCCGAGAGGCGTTGAGAATCACCTGAGAGGCGTTGAGAATCACCTGAGAGGCGTTGAGAATCACCTGAGAGGCGTTGAGAATCACCTAAGAGGCGTTGAGAATCACCTGAGAGGCGTTGAGAATCACCTGAGAGGCGTTGAGAATCACCTGAGAGGCGTTGAGAATCACCTGAGAGGCGTTGAGAATCACCTGAGAGGCGTTAAGAATCACCTGAGAGGCGTTGAGAATCACCTGAGAGGCGTTGAGAATCACCTGAGAGGCGTTGAGAATCACCTGAGAGGCGTTGAGGTTCTTGCCTCCGCTGGCCATTGCCACCACCCCGATCTTGTCGTGCTTCAGGTTCGGCCGAATCTCATCGTCAAAGAACCGAGCCTGGTCGCCGTACAGAAACCTAGGCTCGGACAACGGGGGGAGGGGGAGGAGAGGCACGTGAGAATGAAGCGGCGTCACCGAGTGGCCTCCGAGCCAGTGGGCGCGAGAAAGAAGAAGAACGAGTGGTGCTGATGGGTACAACGAGAGCCTCGCTCCCTCCTCCTCCCCTAGTGCCTCGCTCCCTCCTCACCTGGTGCCTCACTCACTTTGACCCCCACATATCACCTGTCATTGGTTCGCCACTCCCCTCATCTCCCCTGTGGATCGAATCGCCTGTCTGCACTGCTGGCCCCGCTTACACACGCTCGCGCTCAACCCAGACCCCCTAGCCCCACCTGCACACGAAGTCACCTGCACACGGAGTCACCTGCACACGGAGTCACCTGTACACGGAGTCGCCGCCCGTGCCGGTGGCGGTGGGGTCGCCCGTCTGCACGATGAAGTCGCGCTGCACGGAGTGGAAGAGGCAGTGGTTGTAGTACTTCATCCTGCCGCACGGGGGGGGAGAGGGGGAGGTGGATGGGGAGCATTGGAGGAAGAAGAGGGAAGAGGGAAGAGGGAAGAGGGAAGAGGGAAGAGGGAAGAGGGAAGAGGGTGGATAGATTACTCCATGCTTGGATGGGAGGGGGAGAGACGGTGCAAATAAGAGTAAATCTGCAGGCAGAGGTTCGTTGGTACGTGGAAGGTAGGGTGGGCGCAAGAGGTTGGAGGCGTGTGAGTAGCGGGGAAGAGAGCACGGAATGCGAAAGCAGACAATCGTGCCGCTCTGCATTCCGTGAATCAAAAAGGGTGAAAGGGGTGGGGCGAAATAGGGGTGGAGACGGGAGAGTGAACGAGAACGTTGCGGTTGCAGTACTCGATCCTGGGAACGGGGGCGGAGGTGGTGCAAACAAGAGGAGGTAAAATCAGCAGGCAGTGGTTTAAGTCAGGGGTTTAGGGTAGGAGGGTAGGGTGGGCAGGAATGAGGAATGAGGAATGAGGAATGCGGAATGAGGAATGAGCAATGAGGAATGCGGAATGAGGAATGAGCAATGAGGAAGCACACCTCCTTCGTGCAGCACTCATTCCGCGCCTCAGAAAGGGCGAAAGGTTGCGAGAGGGGTGGGGCGAAAAAGGGACGGAACAGTGGGGAAGGGAGGACGGGGATAGGGAGGAGGGCTGGTGGTGGGGCGGGGTGGGGAGAGGAGAGGGGAAGGTGGGGAGAGGAGAGGGGAAGGTGGGGAGAGGAGAGGGGAAGGTGGGGAGAGGAGAGGGGAAGGTGGGGAGAGGAGAGGGGAAGGTGGGGAGAGGAGAGGGGAAGGTGGGGAGAGGAGAGGGGAAGGTGGGGAGAGGAGAGGGGAAGGTGGGGAGAGGAGAGGGGAAGGTGGGGAGAGGAGAGGGGAAGGTGGGGAGAGGAGAGGGGAAGGTGGGGAGAGGAGAGGGGAAGGTGGGGCAGGGTGATGGAGACACGGCCGCCGTGTGAGAGCCAGTCGCGCGACTCAGAGCACAACGCCACCCAGCCCGCTCCCAAGCATCCCCCTTCTGACTTCTCCCCTCCCCAACCCCTCTCGCCGGGTTGCCCGCGTCGCACTTGCAGAGCTTGAGGAAGTTCTTGCTGGCGAGCGGGCAGGCGTCCGCGAAGAGGTCCAGCACCATCTCGCCCACGCTCGTCTCCACCAGCACCGCCATCGCCGCGCACGTGCCGCTCACACCCCCGCTCTGACGTGGCAATGAGGCCCGATGCTCTGGCGTGGCCCTGCCACGTGTTCCTTTGGCGCACTGACGCGCGGCAGAGAGTGAGGTGAGACCGGGGGAGGCGGAGGGGAGAAAAGAGGGGAGAGCGCGGTTGAGCTCAGCGCGATCGAGAGTGCGAAACGCGCTCAAGGGGAGGCTGGAGTCGCACGCGAGTGAGATAGCGAGGAGCGGCGCGGGGGAGAAGGCGCCAATCGACGGCGTTTCCACGACTGCACCTGCTGCTGGGCTTGCTGACTAATCGCCGGTGGCGTGCTGACTAACCGGTGGCGTGCTGACTAATCGGTGGCGTGCTGACTAATCGGTGGCGTGCTGACGGCGTGCTGACTAATCGGTGGCGTGCTGACTAATCGGTGGCGGGACGACGGTGGAAACGGAGACGAGACGACCTAGCAATCGGGAGGACAACCGGGATCTTCAGCTGTCGACCTGCTTCATGTTCACGAGTACTGTACTAGGCATCCTGTCAAACGCAGCATGAAGAAATATGGAGGGTGTGGTGCATACACTCCCGAACTGGCCCCTGTCCAGACAAATGGAAGGTTACCTCTTTCGTCATTTCTCGCGACCCGCTCGCGAGTCAATTTGCGACTACACCCGAAATGGTTAGAACAGGCTACCATCACCGTCCTTACAAGGGTGTCCCGCCGGTTGTCGGAACGGAGAGAAATTACTGCCGCGGACTGTTCACAAAACTTTTCATACTTTCGTGGACAGCCCTACTTTCTTGGACACCACATCGAAGTTTTGCTTCTCCCGTGGACTCCGTCAATACTTTCGTGGACTCCCGGCTTTCTTCCATGGACACAAGCAGATTCGCAGTTGAAAAGGAGAATACAGCGATGTACAAGTGATTACGGGCACAAAAGCAGAAATACTGCAGACTACCTGTACGTCGCCAGTAATTGCAAGCTACAGTGTCAAAAACCAGTTCAGAAACAAGATCTCGGAGCTTCTCATGGAAAAGTCACACAGCCGATTCAAATGCGCGGTGAACATTCGAACAACACGTGTGTTTGGGGCTGCGTAATACAAACGTTAATTATTCAAAGAACTACTCAACAAGAGCATAATAGACACGTGCTTGAACGAATGAGCATCAAGTAGCACTTGTTTTTCTCATTCATGGTGCATTTTCTCTTTAATAGGAACTCCATAAAAGAAAAATTAGAATTTGGGAGAATTTACAAAAACAATTGCTTCAAAATTGAAAACAAATCTTCCCAAAGTTATGAATCTAAAATATTTGCGGTGTCAATTTCTCACATATTACGGACAACACTTTCACTATAGCATCAAGGCATGAAACTCCAATTTATACAGCCATATTATCAAATACTATTGGTATTCAAATATTTTACAGCCTTCTTGAAAACGCAAACCCGATATTATTTGACATATTTGGAAATGTCCGACTTTGTAATAATCCCGATTTTCACTGTGCAGTAATTCCACGCAGTTATTTTGGACTACTATGAGTTTTACTGAACTCGATTAACCTTGTAACCATAATATCTACCTCTATTCTACAAGGTGAATCTCTTGTAGGAAGGATCTAGCGTACTCGATCTGCTATACCTGATGTTCAGCTAATACCGCTTCGTCACAGTCACTAAAAAAAAAATTCGAGCTACGCTTCAGAGATTTCTTAAATCACGCGGAGCAGCTGGCTGACTTGGTGTCAAGTGCTGATGGGAGGGGAGAACAAAAATGAAGGCGTAATCAGGTCCCTCGCAAATAGTCGCAAGCTACAGTAATTGCTTGGCACCAAGTCAGCCAGCTGTTCCGCGTGATTTAAGAAAACTCTGAAGCGTAGCTCGAATTTTTTTTTTGAGTGACTGTGACGAAGCGGTATTAGCTGAACATCAGGTATAGCAGATCGAGTACGCTAGATCCTTCCTACAAGAGATTCACCTTGTAGAATAGAGGTAGATATTATGGTTACAAGGTTAATCAAGTTCAGTAAAACTCATAGTAGTCCAAAATAACTACTTGGAATTACTGCACAGTGAAAATCGGGATTATTACAAAGTCGGACATTTCCAAATATGTCAAATAATATCGGGTTTGCGTTTTCAAGAAAGCTGTAAAATCTTTGAATACCAATAGTATTTGATAATATGGCTGTATAAATTGGAGTTTCATGCCTTGATGCTATAGTGAAAGTGTTGTCCGTAATATGTGAGAAATGGACACAGCAAATATTTTAGATTCATAACTTTGGGAAAAATTGTTTTCAATTTTGAATCAATTGTTTTTGTAGATTCTCCCAAATTCTACTTTTCTTTTACGAAGTTCCTATTAAAGAGAAAATGCACCATGAATGAGAAAAACAAGTGCTAATTGATGCTCATTCGTTCAAGCACGTGTCTATTATGCTTTTGTTGAGTAGTTCTTTGAATAATTAATGTTTGTATTAGGCAGCCCCAAACACACGTGTTGTTCGAATGTTCACCGCGCATTTGAATCGGCTGTGTGACTTTTCCATGAGAAGCTCCGAGATCTTGTTTCCGAACTGGTTTTTGACACTGTAGCTTGCAATTACTGGCGACGTACAGGTAGTCTGCAGTATTTCTGCTTTTGTGCCCGTAATCACTTGTACATCGCTGTATACTCATTTTCAACTACGAATCTGCTTGTGTCCATGGAAGAAAGCCGGGAGTCCACGAAAGTATTGACGGAGTCCACGGGAGAAGCAAAACTTCGATGTGGTGTCCAAGAAAGTAGGGCTGTCTACGAAAGTATGAAAAGTTTTGTAAACAGTTAGCGGCAGTAATTTCTCTGAGATTTTGAGTTTCAAAACTGGTTGTACCATGTTCGTCCGACTAGTCCCGCAACCGTTTTCAGAACTCATTTCGGTGATTGGCAAATCGGAACTGTATATACCACGCCCTGAGATGTCATGCAACCGAAGTGTAAGGGCGTAGAACATACAACTCCGAACTTCGGAAAGTTCAGACGGCCAGAGTGGGACAGTGTGGTGGAAGTTCGGACGAAGACTGTTCGGAACTGAAAGTTCCACGCCCTAAGGCTCCCAATCTCATCAGACAAATACACCGTATTGTGAAATTCTGTCATGTCCCAAGCATACGTTTTCGCGAAACCCAACCTGAGTACGCACGGTTACCCTGAAATTCAGCGACGAGAGGTAAACCTTGAACGACGAAAACTGATTGGTCGAGACCCCAACCATCGCTGGGGTGCGACTGCGAGCGTCGCACCTGCGACCAGCAACGACGGGAGGGTGGATCAAGACTCAAAGTGCCTAGGACTTACTTGGGACTCATGACAATGGCAGCCGTAGTGTAGCGTATGACGACCTAACTCACTATCAACAGCAAATGCTGTCTCATTTTTTGCCTTATTGGCGACGCATACAAGGCACTTAGGTATCTCGCCCTAGCACACAAGCGCCGAGGCATTTTCGAGCACTAACGCCAGGCGCATTTGTACGCAGCTATCTTACATTTTCTCCGGGCATTACCGACGGAAACCGAAAGACCTGGGGAATTTCAAGCGTGTGCCGGACCATTCGTGTCTCAACGAATATCCAGTGACCTCACCTTTCCCCTCGCCACTCAGCGGGGTTTCACCTCGAAGGTCCATCTCCCATCCCCTCGTCGCCCAAGTCCCTTCCCCCTCGTCAACCTCCTCCGTCCTCCTCGTCGCACGTGCAGCCCTCCCCAAGTCGCACTTCCCCACATCACCCATCTCCCATCCCCGCGTCGCCCATCTCCCATCCCTGCGTCACCCATCTCTCATCTCCGTGTCGCCCATCTCCCTTCCCTCGTCGCACGTGCAGCCCTCCCCGCCTTCACCCTTCCCCTCCTCGACCATCTCCCTTCGCCAGGTCGCAGCTGCAGCCCTACCCTTCGACACCCGTCACCCTTACCACTCTACCCTTCTCCGTTTCCCCCTCTCCTGCTATCCCCCCGATCCCACTCTCCTCCTCTCTGCTCCCTCCCTCTCCTCCCCTCCGCATCCCGCTCTCCGCGTCTATGTTTCGCCCTCTCTTCCTCCCCATTTCCCACGCTGTCCACACCCGTTTTCCCCTCATCCTTCAGTCTTCCCCTCATTTCCCCCTCTCATTCCCCTCAGTTCCCCATCTCCCTCCCCTCAGTTCCCCCTTCTCATTCCCCTCAGTTTCCCATCTCCCTCCCCTCAGTTCCCCCATCTCATTCCCCTCAGTTCCCCATCTCCCTCCCCTCAGTTCCCCCCTCTCATTCCCCTCAGTTCCCCATCTCCCTCCCCGCAGTTCCCCCATCTCATTCCCCTTAGTTCCCCATCTCCCTTCCCTCAGTTCCCCCCTCTCATTCCCCTCAGTTCCCCATCTCCCTCCCCTCAGTTCCCCCCTCTCATTACCCTCAGTTCCCCATCTCCCTCCCCTCAGTTCCCCCCTCTCATTCCCCTCAGTTCCCCATCTCCCTCCCCTCAGTTCCCCCCTCTCATTCCCCTCAGTTCCCCATCTCCCTCCCCTCAGTTCCCCCCTCTCATTCCCCTCAGTTCCCCATCTCCCTCCCCTCAGTTCCCCCCTCTCATTCCCCTCAGTTCCCCATCTCCCTCCCCTCAATTCCCCCCTCTCATTCCCCTCAGTTCCCCATCTCCCTCCCCTTAGTTCCCCCGTCTCATTCCCCTTAGTTCCCCCCTCTCCTTCCCTTCAGCTCTGCTCCCCCTCGTTTCCCACACCCCCCCAATCTTTTCCCCCCCAGCTCCATCTCCCTTTCCCCTCGGATCCCCTCTGCATCCACTGTCTTTCTCCTCTGCATCCCCTCTCTTTCCCTATAGCTCCCCCTCCCTTTCCCCTCATCTCCCCTCCTCTTTGCCCCCTTCTCCACTCCAGTTCTCTCCCTCTTCTCCTCCCTATTTTCCCCTCTTTCCCTCTTTGTTTCCGCACCCTTTCCCTTCCCTTCGTCTATGGATCCCCCTCTCTTCCTCATATCCTCCTCTCCATTTTCCCCTCGTCTCCTCTCTGTTTCCACCGCCTCTCTTTCCCTCCCCTCCTCCCTCTCCTTTGTTAGAATATTCTCCATTCATTCTATTAGCCTACATCGTTTCATTGTCTTAGGTACTTTATACGCACCCCACTAGGGTGTATACACCCAAGTTGGGGGTTGGGCTCCCAATGATTGGAACCCCCAATAATCCCAACCAAGATTATTGGACCCACCAATAATCTTGGCTAGGATTATTGGACCTCAAATAAGTTGGCCAACTCAACTTATTGGGGTCACCAATAATCGTGGTCACCTCCCAACCAAACCTCCCCTCCTACTCCTCACCTATGTATACCCATTCCTTTCCTAATACAATCATCACTTCAGTTTCTCACATGGTTTCAGAGCTTATGGCTCACGCCTCTTCGTTCGATCCCTAGCCACCTCGCGCCCAACGCGCCTCTCCCCGCGCTCTTAAGCGCCCCTCTCCGCCCCTTTAAGCACCCCGCCCTGCGCCCT